TTCTTCTACGAGCCCCAGAAGAGCCGTAAGCCCGTTGCTGGAAGTCAGACGCCCCATTTGCACGCTAAACTGCGACAACTGCACTTTTGCTTTGATTAATAGATTTGGACTGTCGGTAGCCTCATCGGAATCAAGTAACTATTTAAATATATAATGGTTGTTTTTAACTTTTTTTTACCTTTTGTTTGTGTTTACTTGCTTTGCTTTTTACTGTAGGATGGGGTAGAGGGTAGCTGAAATGACGTCCTGCATTATTTTTATTTATAAGCCTCGCTCATCTAAATTTTGTAAATAAAAAAAGGGGTTGTCTTGTACTCCATTACCCCGCAAAATTTCTAGATGTCCGCCTACATGGTACACGTAGTTTTTTTGATCTTTTAGATTGACTACTAAATTAAAAAAAAATAAAAAATCACAATTACTGAATAACAAATTTTATATTAATTTGACAATGACAAAAAATATATATTGCTTAAATGCGAGTTAAAATGTCTACAAAAAAGCTTTTTTTTTATATTGAAAATAGCTAGCTTAATACGGACGCTTTTAATCTGTCATTGTTCTGAAAGTTTGGCAAAAAATATTTTGAAATAGTTTACACGTTTAAAGTCTTTCAGTTATAAAAAATTAATTAATCGTCACTATAAAATGGGGGAGGGGGTAGCTGAAATGACGTCGTGCATTATTTTTAGGAGAAATGAAACATTTTTGCTTATAAGCCTCGCTTGTTTTACATTGGTGTGAATAATTGTCCTGTTACATCTAAAGTTTGTAAATAAAAACTTAGTTTATTAGTTTTTTTAGATTAATTATTAAAAAAATAAAAATGATATCTCGCATCTCCCGCGTTTCGTGGTTCACAAATTTTCCCGATCGGGTTAATAATAGTTTTCGAGAAAATATTTTTTTTCTGGAAGTCAAAATAAACTAAAAAAAATATTCAAAGCTTTATGGAGCCGAATCTTCTGCGTCTTCTAGTTTCAGAATTTTTTCGGTGGCGCAAATTGTTTTCGAGAAATGATTTTTTTCTTAGACCCTTGTAAACGTGGGTTTTAAATTTTTTTAAATACTTCCCGACCCACCAACCCCCCAGTTTCAATAGGCTTTCAAGTTGATGGTTTCACATTTCGGACACTTATCGTGTTTCATAGCAATGTCCAAAAATCGGCCGAAAATCGAAAAAAAAAAGATGGCCGCCGAGTTTCGCGTTCATTTTTCAATATTTTGTGTAAAACGTGAGCTTCGAAAAAGGACCAAAACTTCAACTCTTCAAACGGTTCGAAAGTTATCGCCTTAAAACCCATTTCCACAGAGAACAGAGAAACAGATAAAACAAAAAAAATTTGTTTACCCTGATCATTGACCGTTGTCAAGCCCGCACTACTCCAAATTCCCGTCAATTCTACTAAGTTGATCTTATAAAAATAGACTAATAATTATTAAGACGTTAATAGGATGATTTTATCAGCGGCATCTAAACCGATTTTCTTCTTCTTTTTTTATTCTCTTTTAATTAAGAACGTTGCTAAAAGTTTTCGTAAACCATAAAGCGAAACGACTATAGTCTTATTAGCTTGCGTTTGGGGCCTAGGGATTTTATTCATTTTTCTGATGTAAAGCCGGCATCGGTGCATTTAAAGTTTTCATCCCCTCGATAACGAGACGTGGGCGGATATATTTCGAACTAAACCACAATGCGATTTCGTTTGTTTGTTTGTTTGTTTGTTGCGGCCGTGGTGAGTTGGTCTGAATTCTTTAAAGTGACTCTGATATTGAAATTCTGAAAATGTCATTAATATCCTGGAAATTCGGTTTAGTTGTTAATTCTGTTAATAATTAAATTAAGATGATTAAATAACACAGCGTGCAATCCCATTGTGCTGTGGCTTCTTTTGAAACGGAAATGCCCCTTAATTCGTCCAGTGTCTGTTTAGGTTAACACCATAAAATTTTAATGGCGTTAACACAAACATTATCGACCCCAGGCAAAAAAAGAAACTAATAAGTAGACACACGCGTCACAATAAAATTATAAACAAAATCCGGTTGGTGGTTTCAACTAGCAAACTACTTTTTTTATGTTGTTTAATTCGTAATTTCTCCTTTGCGCGTTAATTAAAATTATCTTTCGAAATTCCCACGAAACGAAATAATAATTCCGTTTTCACATGGAAAGGATCCAAATAATAAATTTTAAGGAAACCCGGCGTCTTTTGTTTTTCATTAAGCCTTCGCGTTTATGATAAACACTCATATAAATCCGACATTTGCCTTTTCGTCGGCAGTTTTTTCCGCTTCACTCCTTGAGTGCTTACTTGAAGGAATCAATATGGCATAATTTTTATCGTTAGAAATGTTTTTACAAACAACGAGAAAATGTTTAATTCGGCAGGGAATTTTCATCGGAACTTAATTATGGCCGTGCATTGTTTTAGTTTTGATTTTTTCCCCATTAGTTGATACTATATATATTTGATTTTTGGTACTGGAAAACTCGACATTTTGAATTTTTCAATATTTCATGTGAACATATGTTTAAGCGGTGTAAACAATATGAACAAAACAAAAAAGAGTGTGCCCTTTTAAAATTGCGTTATTTTTCGAAGGCATACGGACCCAGCGTCTTAACAAATTCTACCTAAAAATATTTCATTTGTTTATTTACTGCGAAAAAAATGCGTCCCGAAAATAATTTTATAGCTTCACCGAAATTCGTTGCCCTTAATTAAATTCCATTTTTTTTCGTTTAATAAGACTGGATGCAAATCAATCTGGAATCATGCAGGCAGCGTAGAGATAATTTACCCTTCGCTTTGAGTTTGCTTAAGAAAATACAAAAATGCAAAGCATTTGTTCGCTTCGAAAGTCTTCACGAAAATTTGCAGTAAAATTAAACGACTAAATACTGATCACGAACACGCGCACTCTTAAAATATATATGCTGATTAGCAATATTTATAGAATTTTATTAGCAATGATATATATAATGTAAATTTGTTTAAAATGTAATTAATGTTGCTTTGCCAGTATTAATAGATGAGAATTGGGGCAGCCGTCCATTTAAAAATATTTTTTCTAACTTGAAATATTTGAATTTAGCTATATAATTTTTGTTATAAATATCGTTTAATTGTACGCCATTTTTAAATTAAATTTCTCGAAACACCAGCGTATCGCATCGTTGAAATTGTCGAAATACATTAACGAAATCATCCCCATAAAATGTCCGCTGTTGTTTCCCACGGTGTTTTTTATTTACTATTACACTGTATATGAATTTACAAATACGCCGCGGCAATCTGCAGCCCATAGCGATATGGATTTCGTTGGACCAATACTGTACGCTTTTAAATTTACTCGTGGGAAAATATATAAAATACATTGCTTTTAATAAATTTTAGGGCTGCAGTCTACAAAATGCTCCAAACAAATCCAGCTTTGTGTGCGGAAATTTTATACGCAATTCGGTCTACTTAAAAACCAAACATTAAAAATTCCTGGGCTAACATCTTTAGCGAATTTCTCGTGAAAATCCCCTAGCGATGAAATCTTTAGAGTGCTTGGTGTCTTAAACGTTCATTCGTTACCTGCGATATAGTTTTTCCAAGATCCACACAAATTGGAGCATCTGCGGGTTCCTCAGGCGTCACACTAAGTATTTCGCGATGCAAAAACATTACGGACTGCACGTAATATTGGTGAAGTTTAATTTAACCGTGTTTCAAGCGTAACAGATCTTGGGCGTCGTCATTGATCATTTTCTTCCGCTTCTTACTTTTCGTTGCTCACTAGTGAACAAATATGGCTAGCATTCAATCATAGTAGCGACTGAGAAGATCATCGTTTCTTTTCTATGGTATACTCAATTTTTAGACACTTAGCCAGACTTCTTCTGTGCATCGAGCTCCCGGTTCACTAGAGTTGGCCATAGTTGTTTTTTGATATTTAAATTTTCTTAGCTATATTTGCTAAAAATATTTAAGCATACTATGCAACTGAGAAGTTAGGGATTAAGTTCCTATGATTTGCTCAATTCTTAGGTACTTACACTATTTTGCATCGATGTCTTAGTTCACGAGAGCTCTCCATAGTTTTTTTATATGAAAATTTCCTTAGCTGTGTTAGCTACAAATGGGTTTAATATTAAATTATACTAGACTACTGCGACCGATACTTCTTTGTATCGAGACCTTAATTTACTAGGCGGCTTCGAAAATAGTTGTTGCTTTTCTGATATGCTCAATTCTTAGTCACTGAGACTCTCCATAGTTGTTTTTGATACGAGGCGACTGAGAATATTTACTTTACTTTACTTTCCCTTGCGTCGAGAATCCTTAATAGCTGTTTTTGGATATGAAATTTACCTTAGTTATGTTGGCTACAAATAGGTTTAATATCGAATTATACTAGACGACTGTGACGATAGTTGTTGCTTTTCTGTGATGTGTTCGATTACTTTTCTTGGCCTCGAGATCTCAGTTCACGAGAGTCTCAATTGCTGTTTTTGATATGAAATTTTCCTCAGCCATGTTAGCTACAAATGGGTTTAATATTCAATCAATCATACTATATGACTGTGACGATAGTTCCCTTTGATATGCTGAATTCTTAGTCACTTTACACTTATTTGCATCGCGATTTTACTTCACGAGAGATTTCCATAGTTGTGTGCGACTATATTTCTTGAAATCCAATTCCGGGCTTTTCAATGAATTTGTTCCATATTGAAGGAAATATTCAATTCAAAAATAGTTTTTAAGGGCTCTAGTGAGTTGAGGTCTAAGTTATATTTTATTCCTTTTTATTATTTACTGGGATCGGATTTAATATGATGTCATTGTATTTTTATATGCTGCAATTTAGTATGTTAGAGATATGTACTATTCAGCTATGATTTCTTTTCAACCTCTTTGACCGGCCTTTGTTAAATATGAAGGGCATAAGAATCTTTTAGTTCGCAAATGTCGGAGAATGAGGCATTTTCGTTTGTTAATTTCCAGAAATCATTGATGTGGTTCGTAAAGGACCCGACGGTAATGCTGGGACTCCGCTACGGCCAACCCATTCGACTGACACATGCGAGGATGAAATTTCGGTTTTGATGAACAAATGTTGGGCCGAAGATCCGCAAGAACGTCCCGATTTTGGAACTCTGAAAGCAAAATTACGCCAAATGAACAGAAAGTGAGTCATTAAAAAATATTATTGCTGTTTTCGTCCATTTTGGACGACGTGTTTGAGCTTTGCAAGACGCGTCCTTCGCCGCAGACGTGTTTTGTAAACAAAATGGCTTCGGTTTGGGGAACAAGTGAGTCATGAGACATTATGATTTTGTCGAAACGTGATACATTTAATATTGCCGAGTTGTTTTCGCAGTATACAATTACTAAACATTGATTTTTGAGGGTCGTTTTGGAAATTCCTTGTTATAAAATTGAAATAATGCACCGTTAGGATGCTGGTAATTTGAGCAAAGAGTTTTCGCAAACAAGAGCTAACAGACACTACGGTTTACTTAAACATATCTATTTTTCCCTCAAAAAACTGGCTTCACCCGTTGAATTTTATGGTTTATTTAATATTTACAAGGTGTACACTTTTACTGGAACAATATTATTTTTAAAGTCGTTTCAAATTTTAAAGCTGCTGTTAAGTTTCTTTAAAATGTATTAACTTCCATAGAACGACTTTTGATTTTTTGTTTCGAAAATGCGTTTGTGAATTTAGGAAATAATAATACGTATTTAGAATTAGCGCTTTTTACGTTTGGTTTAAAATTCTTCGATAGACGTCGACATGCAGGAAATTTTAAAGTTAAGTCGAAGAATTTAATAGAATTTATATTAACTCCCGTTTTCTCAGATCATCACATATCGCGCACGCAAGCTAGAAAACATGCCATCATATATTTCATATTGAAATATTCGATATAATACGTATCGCAACGAATGTGTTAGTAATTCATTGTAATTGTGTCCTTTTCGTAGTAAACCGTGGATATTTCAGAATATGTGAGTATAATCAAGATTTTTTTATGCATGAAAAGTGCATGCATTAATAACTTACATTTCATCCTAATATAATTTTTTGGAGAATGATCCGACATCAGACAAAAAAAAAATACGCCCCGACGCTGAATTCGCAAATGGTCGTAAAACGAAACGAATTAGAAATTGCAACCTTGTCGGTTCATTTGTGCGTGAATTTAAAATCAATTCCAGACGTTCTCTACAGAAATTCAACGATTAACTTGGTGCCAGCACCGCGGAGATCGGCACGCGGACGAATGGGTTGTAGTTAATTTTTACGAATTCGTATTTCAGAAGGGAAGCTGAAAATGAAAATCGTTTGCTCGACGCGAGATAACTGATTAACAAGGGGCAGGCAGTTAGGGCCGGAAATTAACGTGGTTAATTTTCAGGGATCTGAACACCTGGCCGTTAATTAACAAGCGATATTAATAATAGCGTTTATTATTTCTAAAAGACAGAACAAACAAATATTAACACAAAAATGTGTTTTTCTTCTAGTCGCTAAGAACAACCACCAGATATAGTTTTTTTTTTTCAATTCTGCCAGGAAATAATTTTTAGCGTAATAGTGACAAAAGCGATTAATATAAACGTGGTTTCCAATCCCGATTTTCATCTGGAAAACCGCATGGAGGCGGTCAATAACCTTGGCGAAAATCAATGCATTCAAAACTTGGCCGGGCCATCGAAATTATCTGACTGGAAAATTTGACTGCAGCAATTATCAGACAGCCGCGTGTTCGCACGTTGTATGGATTGCTTTTTCTCGCAACTATGAGAATTTTTAACATATGATGGTTAGTTTTGATTTCGATTATTTCATCCTTCGAAATTATATCAAAATTGTTTTAGCATTTGACGTAGAGACTTACGATAATAAATTTTTTTTCCCCTGACTTTCTTTTGAATTTAAAATATTCTAAACTCTGTTGAACATTTCGCTTATGAGATGACATCCTATCTCGGAAGCTGTAAAAAACGTTTAAAAAACTTTATGGAAACAGAAGTTGTTTGAATTTACTTTTAAAATGTTATATTTTTATGCATCCAAGATGTTTTTATTTTCTTTTACAGGGAACAACTCTCTTATTTTAAATAAAACGCTCTGTATATTTTAAAGTGGCCGATTTCTCCTAAAAAAATCTGTAATATTTTTGGTGTATGTTGATATTTTAAGAATAAATACAAGGTCATAAAAATCTCATTAAATATTTAAATTAAATAATCGTTATCCTATTTAGCATTTAAAAAGGAAGTGACTTTGTATAAAATTTAAAACAATTGTAAATTTCGAAATATAAATAATAAAACGATTTCCACGATGAAAATGATATACGGATTTTAACAATACTATGATGTTTGAAATGCAAAGAAGAAACATAAACCAATTATTTTGTTAAAAAAAAAACGTTGTAAACAATACAAGGTGACTAAGGTGGTATAAAACTGTCCAACGTTGATTAGGAAACTCACAGCAAGTCAAAGTAGTGACATTTCTCTCCTCCTGTATATATAACGATATAATGTTTTACATGTGTAACTAAATTCTTGAAACTTGTGATTTTTTACTGATTCTGATATAAGATCCTTTAACAATCGGTCTTGTCTCTTCGAAAATGAAATTGGTGTTGATGGCGTTGTTGATATAAAGCAGATTAGTAAACAGAGCACGTAATCATTAATCCAATTAATCTCGATATCAAAACTTTTATTAGTTTTGTTTAGTTTTATGCTTTTTCGAGAGTGGCCCATAACCGTAGTTCCTATAATTAACGCGATTATTATTTTTTTGTCAAAATGGCCGCATGCCGAAATTCCAACTATTCGAGGTCTGGGATTAGTGACACGAAATTTGAAATGCGGAGTTCAGTGCGGTGGACAGGAACTTTACGTTTAGTTTGCGAGATACGTTTGTAGTCTACAACTAAGACCCCTTTGATAGGATATTCGAACGTTATTTGAATAGAAATGTATCTCCAACCGTGTACATTTCACCGCACAGCACGCCCTCCTGCCCTTAACTAGGATTATCGACGGGATTTGGGAACGTGATGGATTTAAATAATTTTTCGCTAATACAAGGGTAATTCGAAAAGTCATTAGAAAATCCAGGACGTTTCGATAGTAGACAGATGTTTGAGTGTCAGCTGAATCCATCGCATAGTTTAATTGCTGTTGATCGAAGTAAAGAACTTTAATTTGTCTATAAAAATTTATAAAAGTGGGTTTCGAGCACTGTCTTTAAAATGGTTGACGCCGAAACAAAGCAAATCTAACTTGAACGAAGTTCATGGAACATCTGCTCCTGTGTTTGCGACTGCACTTTAAACGTGGTTTTAAATCCACAAAAGATGAATGCAAGGAAATCAAGGCAAGTTCCAATTATTATAACATCCACCCTATTTGTCAGAGATGAGTATTTCATGTTTCCGCAATTGTCTGAAATTACTTTATCGGACAAAGGTTTTACTTTTGGGAGTTTCCAAAATCTTTCTTTTATGTTGATTTTTTTTAATCTACTTTTTTCTAAGGACTTATTGAACGGCCTTCGTATTTCAGATGAAAGATCGACGAAGAACGCAGTATAAGATTTCCCTATAATATTTTAGCTCCATGTGCCCGGAAGTAGAGCATCGTGAACGTGCAAAATCTTAAAGAAATGTATAATATTTTTGCGTTTTAATTTGGCAAATCATTTATTTTTAGAGAAAACGAAATGAACCTTCTCGACAATCTTTTAACACGAATGGAACAATACGCAAACAATTTGGAAACCCAGGTACAAGACCGTACCCGCGATTATCTAGAGGAAAAGCACAAGTGCGAGGAGTTACTGCATCAGTTATTGCCCAAGAGCGTTGCTCAGCAATTAATTATGGGAAAACATGTCGTCGCTGAAACTTTCAATTCGGTGACAATTTATTTCAGCGACATTGTCGGCTTCACAGCTCTCTCCGCGCAAAGCACACCGCTGCAAGTGGTCGATCTGCTGAATGATCTTTATTCGATGTTCGACTGTATCGTGGAACAATATGAAGTTTACAAGGTAAATTTTGCTTTGAATTAATAACAGCTTAAGTTTAAACCTGTTCCACCCACGCTCGTATTCGAAAGTTGCTGATATCGGATGCTCGAGTGATTGTAACTTATTGCAAGTTTGAATGCATTAGAGATGATATTTTTATAAAGGAAGAAATCTATGAGTTTTATTATCTTTCAGAACTCTAAAAGATATTAAATATACGTACAATCGTGTTATTATACTTAATTATGTAATATGAAAAAGTTAACAAAAAATGAAACAATTAAGATTACTATCGATGAAAAGAAAATAATGAACTATTGATGCGAAAAAGGATTAAAAACGTATAAAAACAAACGGATAGTATATAAGGTATTGTATATATTATTGTAAGGAAAAAAGGAAAAGAAAAGACGATTAGTACACTTTTTATTTGTGTATTTGTTCGCATCAGATTTACTTTTCCGTGTTCTTCATAGAGGCATTTTAAAAGTTGTGAAAAACGTAATTAATAACACTAATAAATAAATAAGTAATAATTACAAGATCCTATCGATTACGTTAAAAAACCACACATTTAGATCTTCAATATACGTTGTTTTATTTCGAAAATTTTGATCAACTCAAATAAAGTTTATTTTCTACCCTATTAAATACCTTAAGGCAATCTCTTTTATGTTCTATCCGTCTTGTTTTAAAGTATCGCCCAGCGTGTCCATTTCTTAAAATCGAATATTATTTTTGTCGCAAATTTCTTTCTTTTTAACGTCACGCTATCCTATTCGTAGGCGTATTAATAAATCTTGACAAACTGGCGGCAGCGCACCGAAGTTAATATCTGTGTAACTCGATATAAGGATTGTTATGGTATCTCTCTTAATGCCTGATTAAATTTTTCCGGTCCAGGGATAAATGCGAGTAATTGGCTATAGTGGACTCGCAGATGCAGTGCCATCCTCCCTTAGATCAGTGTCGTAGAAATCAAATTTACTTATTTAGGTCTAAAGGTTACTCGTCGCTGATAAATATTATCTTCAATTTTAAGTTAAATTTTAAAATAACATATTTTTCGAATAAAACTCGCGCCATATTTCTATTCGTTTTGTACGAGAAACCGGAAATGCTGCAATTTAAAACAAATTTATTTAAAAGAGTTGTACGGTCTTAATGTTATTTTTGCTCCTGCAGTGAAATTTTTAAATGAAGAGCTTTGCAGAAACATTGTGGAGTAAACTTTATTAGCAGGAACATGACGTTTTGTTTCCTGCTAATTTCAGTGAATGCGACGCCGTATTTGTTTCATTACTTCATTATTGTTGCGACTTTTGTAGCAAGTTTTCAGTAGCTAATTTAATTGCTAACAGGTATACCATAGAAAAATGAATTCTCCAAGGTATTGATTTTCAATTTAAGGAGTTTGATAATACGAAAATTCATCCTATTGCGGCAGAAATTTTCTCCGGCCTGTGAATTTTCCGATTTAACCAAGAGTATGCTCGTTTTTCTTTGTATTCATTTGCATCCAGAAGTAGGGGGTGTACGTGATCGATAACTGTGATAACGGTAGATAGCGTAAGAGTTCGTGACTAATGGGCTTTGACTTTTGGCTTCGCAAGAAAAAATTACCAAGCGTTTTTTGCATTTTATTAATGGTGGAATTTTTTGATTTTTTTAAATATTTTGTCGGAACTTAAATAGTGTTGTCTAGAAAAGGGAATGAACTGTCATTTTTTTGGCTAGAGTCATACAGTCTTAATTCAATTTTTGTTCCTGCAGTGAATTTTTTAAATTACGACCTTTATGAGGTAAACTTTATTAAGCTAGAAGAACATCAGGTTTTATTTCGTTCTAATTTCAGTGAATGAGACGCCGTACTTGTTTCATTACCCAGGTGAATGGGTTAGTTATTTGCTAAATACGAGCAACATAAAATGTTGCGAGTTTTGTAGCATCAGATAATTAAATTGATAACATGTACACCATAAAAAATTAATTCCACATATTAAAGAGTTTCATAACACTAAGATTAATGAAGGGGACCAATTGGGGTGAAAAATGTTTTAACTAAGGTGACCAAGAGAAAATGCTGGAAGTTATTTTTAAGAAATAATCTTAGATTATGGAAAACTAAAATGGACACCGCTGTAAAGCTTCATTCCAGCTTTTTTTTCGTTATGGAAAAGTAGTAGGGGTTGTGTAACAATTTCGAAATGAAATGTCAATAACTTGAGCGTATTTTGTCAGCTCGGAGTTGTTGAAAAGGCCTCTTTTTAGATTGCCCTGATTAGATTGATTTAGATTGCTTGTATCGCCTCTAAGGGAAGTTTTGCGATATCACTATAAATTAAATTTATTTTTTTTAAAAACATATCTGCAACGAGATCACACAAAGATAGCCAAATAAGAATATAACACGATAGTGAATACTCATTCGATTTGCTTTAAGTGTGCTTTGGAGAACAAAATAGCAAAAATTATAATGATGGTGTTTAAGTGTCAGTCATATTAAAAATGCAGCTATTTTACTGTTTTTGTTAGCATTTGTGCGATGCAGTTTATTGTTCAAAGAAGGCTGTGAAACTTTCGAGTCAACACTCGACGCAGGAGAAATTCAGAAAATGTGTAGCTTACACTAAATTTATATATTTTGTGCCCAAAGAATGAGTATTAGAATTTAATAATGGTATCTTGAAAATGTTCCCAAAGATGGCGACATTATTTTGTCTTTCTTACTTTTACTGGTATATGAAATAGATATCGAAATGCGGATTTCATTAGCGCATTAGAGCCTATTTGGCTATTTTTTGTAGCAATAAAAATGATAGAATTGCATTTAATTGGCATAAGGAGAGCCCTTTTCAAAGACTCCAAAATTGATAAAATGCGTTCAGCCATCCTTAAGTTATTGACATTTATTTCCGAAAATGTTGTGAGTTTATCCCGATTGTAAAACAGTGTTTCTTTTAGTTATCCGTAATATAAGATTATTTCTCATATTTTCTCAGAATTTTCTTTTGCGCTCGGAGAAAAAACGTAAAAATTAAAAAAAAAACGCTAATGATTTAATCAAAATTAAATATGATTTTGCTTCACCTGTGCTTTTTATTAAATCAAGAGGATGTTATATGATTCATGATCGATGAATTTAAATTATAATGACGCAGACAATAAAATAAGCATCACAAAATATTATTTCAAATGTTTCAAATAACAATTAAAACATACTATCGATTTCTGTTAACGCTATCCTTACGGTAGGAAGCTCTATTATTTTTAAAATTATTGTTATTATTATAAGAGAACTAAAAAACTTTCTTTTGTAATAAACCAGTATTAATTTGTTTTAAACATAATTAAGTTTGAAACAAATACGCAATACATTAACTACAGGACAGAAGAGAATCGTGAATGTTTTAAAGTGACCACCTAAAACGTTATTATTTTCTGAGTATAGTCGCTTTAGTCAAGATTCGGTTTCTGAAAAATGGCATTTTTTGACTGCCGTAAAAACTGCCTCAGCGTAGATAATTTCAGGTGGAAACGATTGGCGATTCCTACATGGTAGTTTCCGGTCTTCCGGAACGTAACGGTTCGAAGCACGCTTTCGAAATAGCGCGTATGTCTCTCCATCTTCTGCGCGAAGTTGAAAAATTCAAAATCAGACACAGGCCGGAAACTCCTTTGAAGCTACGCATCGGGATACACAGCGGTCCTTGCGTTGCCGGCGTAGTGGGTCTAAAGATGCCCCGTTATTGTCTCTTCGGCGACACAGTAAACACCGCGTCACGTATGGAACAGAACGGATTGCCTCTAAGGATCCACGTCAGTACGGCCACCAAGCAGATTTTGGACGAAGTCGGTTTGTTTAAAATGGAACTACGCGGTGAGGTTGAAATGAAGGCAAGTAACAATTCGTCGGATTTACGTGCTTATTAAACTCGCTGTGAAATGGCGACAATGTATGTTCGGAGCACCGAAATTTAATTAAAAAGGATCTAGGGGATGTTTAACATATACCTTCCTTTGTTTGCCACGGTCCGACATCGTAGCTAGTTAATAATTTTGCGAGTAGGGCAATAACGAGGGCGTTTGAAAACAACACTGTCGCATCAGTCGTTCGACAATTTAACGCTATAGGCGGCCGTGGCTTTGTGAAAATTCTCATGCTTCAAAACTCGGTTTAATTAATAGCGGGGTTAATCGCAAAACTATTTTGTATTCGGCGTCGTCGTCGCAGATTATGATTATGCATTGAACGCGTTTACAAGAGTGTGTCGTAAACGAACGGGACGGAAACAAATGACAGTCGGATTTATTCGACACGCTTACTGGGTTAAAGTAATAATTAGTTCGAAAATCGCAAACGCGGCGTGTATGTATAGCGAAGTTTGTTTAATAGGGACGAGTCGGGATTATAATTTTTATTTTAATTTGTACGCTTTGTAAATGCACGAACACCTGGTATCACATCGAATTTCGAATCGAGCGAGCGTCACGTATAACGGCGAATATTAAAAAGTTTTTTAAATCTTTTTGGTAAATTAAGTTTTACATCGCTTTCATTTCGTTCGCGGTCTTTGCTTTCCACTTACACTCTCGCCGATTTTCCCGTACAATGAAAAGATTTTTTTTTTTTGGAATTACATCGCAAGCCGATCGATGATGGTACTTTTTTATCTCCGGAAATAGTTTTCCAGCGAACATTTTTGAAATTGTTCAAATTAATGCTAATTATTTTATTAACACATTCTATATCGCTGTCCTGCAATTTCATTTTAAAGAGAAATTTGTTATGGAAACTACAAACTTTTAGTAGAATTTGAATTTCATTTCCGGTTAGATCAGAAGTGACTGGTTATCGAGGAATAAAATTTAAAATTTTTATATGAAGCCATATTCAAATGGTTTATAGTATTTCCAATGTGAAGTGGTATAAAGCATAAAATAGCATATTGTTAGCTTTAATCCTCTCCTCTTTTTTCAGTTTTTGCTAATTAGAGCAAATTGTTTTATGATACAAATTGATATTATGATACAAACATTTCAAAGTTGTGATTGATACCAAAATTAAAAATGCCTAATTAGAAACAATTTTTTTTCGTACAACTCGAATTAAAATAAAGTTCCCGGTAAATCGGAACTGACTGTTCACTGAGAAATAAATTTTCAAAATTTTATATGGTGGATAGTAGTTGCATTGTCAAGCAGTATAGAACACAAACCAGATAACATATTGTTAGCCTTAAACCTATTCACACCACGGAAGTTTTCTAAAAATGTTGACCAATTGGTGGCAGCGCGCCAATATTTAAATAGAATTTGAAAAACAAAATTTGATTTCTCAGAAATAAATTGTTTTAGTTTGACCGTATCTGCAAATTTTATTACTAATTAGTGTTAATTGTTTTATTATTATATTATATATCGCTGCCTTGCTGTTTAATTTGCTGTTCAAATTTTAAAATGGTTTCCTATACAAATGTATAAATTGTGACAGAAAAATTTTTCGAAGATTTCTAATTAAAATCAAGATCCGGCTAAATCGGAACTGACTGTTCATTGAGAATTAAAATTTTAAAATTTTATATGGTGGATAGTAGTTCTATTGTCAAGCAGCATGGAACACGAAACAGATAATATATTGTTAGTCTTAAACCTCTCACTTGTCTTCTCAAAAATAATTGTCCAAAACAACCACGGGCTTTCTAAAAATGTTGACAAATTGGTGGCATATTTAAATATAATTTAAAAAAGTCAAAATTAGATTTTTTTTTCAGTTTCACCGTCTCTGTAAATTTTGTTGCTAATCAATCAAGGGAGTTTTCGAAATGTGTTGACAAATTGGTGGCAGCGCGTTAATTTTGAATTTTTCGAAGAAAAAAAATAGACTTCTCCAGAATTTTTTTTTTTTTGAGATCAACGGTCTCTCTAAATTTTATTGCTAATCAGTGCAAATTGTTTTAATAACACACTGTATATTGTTTCTTACTGTACAATTTGCTATCTGAAAGCAATAAGTGCCTAATAATTCGAATTCGGTCATTTTCGGCTAAATCGGAAGTGGTTGTGAATAGAGTAATAAAATTTGATTTTTTTAATAAAATATTGGATAATTACTTTATTGCCACACAGTATCAAACACACAAGTTTTGTTAGCCTAAGGTAACCTAGGGAAGTTCCTTAGTGCGTAAACTTAATATTTAACTATGATCAAAATTAGAACGGAAGAGTAAAGTTCACCATACTCCTTGACAACAAAAAAGACACTCATATTCCGCTTGGTTTCAGAGGAAAATTCTTGCGAATTGTGAGAGCAAATGCATTTCGTATCGCCGTTTCGAACATCCCATAAAGATTACCTAAAATGCCCCTTTTATGAGTAACAATTTTCGCGAATGGAAATGGAATGAAAACCTATTAAAGCGATGTTCGAATTACGTTTTGCGATATATTTTTTAATCCCATCTCTCTCGCATCTCTGCCCTCAGCATGTTTATCGAAATATTCATCTGCATCCGTTTGAGTTTTTTTTCCTTTCTTTGAAAACTAAAGCCGTTTCATTCGATTTATGATGGTACGAAGAACACTGACAATTTGTGTTCCCTCCTACGCCAATGCAAATGTAAACCTCTTTTCGATACGTCTTTGGTGCAATTATGTTTCGTTATTCGTGGTTATCATTCATCCCGCCTTCGTTACCGACCGTTCCGCAGACGAAAGGTGGGTTTTTCGCGAGTTCTACAGTGTCGAAACAGATATTTTACTCGCCTAACACTCGCAACTCGGAAGCATCGAAATGATTTCTGTTTGTAGGGCAAAGGCAAAGTAATAACCTACTGGCTAAACGGGGAAGAAGAAGGTAATCGGTTTTTGTGCGAGCCAGTTTATTTGCCTAAACTGCAGGCTCCGCCGGGACGTCCGAGTACACCACGTCCGAGGAGCGTTTATTCAGATAGCTCGAACTCAAACGGACATTCGCCGTCATTAGATCTAAAACGAGCATTGGAAGATATGAATACCATTGCGGAGCAATCCAAACCAACTGATGGGAAAGCTCGCGGAGATGAAACCGAACAACCACTGCTACGTATAACTTCTGCATCTTTCGATTCCAACGCTTAAACAAACTCTTTCACTTCTCTTTCTCTTTTTCTCGCTCATCCGGATGTTTCAACCATTTCCTAGGTGTGACTTCGATTAAAAATTGCAGGAGCCAAGTGGCAGCGGTAGAATTGGATCTATTTCGAACAGGAATCTCAATTTGATGTTGGCGTACTGCCAGCTGGTGGTTGCCAGTAGTTCTTTCTCTTCATTTCATCAAAATATAATGTGTCGTTGTCAATGCATGTTTAAAAAGTTTATGGATTCGATGTGTCATCGATGTAATCAATGCTGTGTCGCAACCTTTGGAATTTTATTTTTTCTTTAGTCATACCTCGTGGGTAAGCTGACCATTTCCCGTGGACCATTCTTCCAGTATTACAACTCGCAGAGGCATATTGTATTTTTACCTGTTATCCTATCGAGTAGCGTGATACGACTTATATACGTTATATTGTTTTGTAGTTCTCGTATATACAGGGACGATGCCAAATATGAATATATACCTATTTTTGTTGTAAGCTAGATAAAATTTGTGATAAAAATAAATTAGTTTGTTATTACAATTAGGCCATAAAAAATACGCTTGATGAATTTAGCAGGACGACTTGAGTGATACGCGTATAGAGTGTAGTGTTCTTTTTTTTTTCGGCTTAGCCGTGTTGGTTTGAAAATTCGTTAAGTTTTCGAAAATTTTAAAATAACGTTGGAAAGAGATATATAGCGAGTTTATCGTCGTTGTCGAATATAAAAGAGCAGGTTAACTTTTAAATTTTATTAAGAATATTTATATTTAATAAGAATATTATATGCCTAATGTTTGCCTAATATATTTTCTTAAGAATGGTTTACATAATCTTAATAATAGTGTTGTTGCTTTTTAACAATAGGTTTTTCCATAACTTTCCGCTTAGCCTTTAAAAGGCGTTTTTTAGTTTCTGTAGGAAGCCGTTCCCCCTTTTTATTGTTTTTAAGAATATTCAGTCTAGCGTTCCATTTTTAATTAAGTTACTTTTGTTCTTTTTTTATACTTAATGTTGATGCAAATTAGGATTAGAGCTTCTATTTAGCCGTTACATAGTATGATTGTGCTTTATGTGGGTTAAAATAAATTTACCGTCATATACGATACAAGTTAGAGAATCAGGGCGTTAATACGCAATCAAACCATGTCTCGCCGACATGCAGAGCGTAAGATATTTCTAAACTTAACATAAAAAATTAAGGATCTAAATGTTTTTAATGTTTAATGTACTATTATCTACATTTTCTCATAATACTATTTCATTCCTTAACTTATTTATGTCACTATTTTCACTAAATTCTGATGTTCCTTGCTGTTCTGTGTTATATTATCGTCAATGAAGTTAAAATATATGTATGAATCAATGAGTTTTGTTCATTTAAATTCCCTCAAATACTTATCCCGTCACTGTTTGGCAATGGTATTCCTTACTATCCACGGTAAATATTTATTGACCCTCGTATAAATCCCCGGACTACCTTTATTTCCGCATTCAATCCCCCACGATACAATACCGACGGTCACCCATCTTCCATTTTTAAGCTGATACATCAGCGGACCTCCAGAATCGCCCTGCAAAGAAAACGTTTTTTTTTTTTTTTTTGGTTTTCGGATATAAAAATCGGCGACTTCTAGTCGTAAATTGCGAACACACCTGACAGGAATCCTTTCCGCCATCATATCCCGCAGCGCATAAAGTATTATCCGTAATTCTCTGCAAAAAGCTGTCAACGCAATTTTGCTGCTCCCACACGGGAATTACCACTTGCATCAGGACTTCGCTGGTCGGGCCGGCAAAATATTGTTGACCCCAGCCAGCCACCACAACAGTTTCGTTTTCAAACGTCTCTCCTATAGTAGCAATATTTTTGAGAGGACATTTTAATCCCTATATAACAGTGTCACCAATAAAATGAATGAGTTGCGAACCAAAAATAATGAAGCATTTTTTAATAAAAGAAAAATCAAATATGCGTTAGTTTTGAAAATATCAAAAAATATTGTTGGAATAGTTTGCTTTAGTTTTTTTTTTAAATGTTTTCAAAAAAATCTTTTTCTTTTCAACCTAACATCTTTTTGGTCAGTTTGGTAAGGTCTGTTCATAGATATATGAAAGTGACTAACTGATACGAATTAAGGAAAGCTGTAAGAATGAAATATGGCCGAACAGGTCCGTACTTTGCTTAGAATTTCATTATTTGGGCTTTTGTTAGGAAAGACACTAAACAATATTTATTTATTTATGTATGTATTTATGTTTAAATATAAAATAAAATTACAAGTTATTTTTATTACCTACTTAAATTACTTAAAATTATTCACATAATATATCAGTATCACTATCGCTATCATCGCCTGTTCTAATTATTATTTGTTCTATATTATTTCATATTCTATATTATTCAATATTTAACATATTTAACAGAATTTGCCCAACTTTGTGGAGAGATGTTAAAACCTTCGGTTTCTATAAGTTTTTGGGACATTGGAGTTAACACGGGGAAAAACATTGTTACGACGAATGGAAGATTTCAGTTGGTGCCAAACATGTCCAATGGGATTAAATATACACTGGTAACAATTACACTATTAGGAGGAATGTTTGGAGCTAGTTTGTTTTTAAACCAACTTTCAAATAAATCAGCGGTGGTGTCTTCATGGTAATCCAGAGAAGAATCTTTAATATTTTTCGCAGACAGAGAAAGTCCATTTGGAATCCAACCATCTTTAGAGCCAGCATGCAAATAGTTATTCTTTTACCTCTTTTTGATGACGCGTTTGTTTTACACTTATCAGTTGAGTCAACACAACCCTTTTCTGGGGTATAATAAGTGTCGAACCAGGTTTCAACCAAGTAAATAATTGGCCTTTGTTGTTCTCTGCAAATCCTTTTTTTTCTAAATATTCCAGTCGCCATTTCCGAACTCTAAAAGATTCCTAAAACTTGCCTTTTGTCAATCTTTTTAAAACTAAATCCCATGTGTTGAATACACTTCCGTAAGGTAGTTCTGCCACATTTAACACCGGTTTCATCTTTTTCAAGCCTCTTAATTAAGATATCTAATGTAGGCTCGTATAACTAATAAATTTTACGCCGTATTATACCTTGATCACTTTCATCTACACTCGAGAAAATGTCACCATCGTTTCTTTTGTTCCTCGCTGAAATAGGATTATTCACAATTTTCCATACAGTTCATGTTGGAATTTTCGTCAATGTGGCCGTTTCTTCTAAAGATTGCTGCTGGCACCACGTTCCATGAGAGTCAAATAAACATTGTTTATAACTTCCTTAGTCTCGATAGAATAGTGTTTTCAACATTTGGGCGGGAGCATCTCCTGAGATACACTAGACTCGCACATATTTTGCATAATTCGCACACGATTCAACACACGCTGTATTACACACGAAATAAAAATGATTACTAATAAACTTAAACTAAGTAGGACCACAATTTTACCTGAATTTAAATTCCGAAACTTTAGGTAATAATCTTGTTGCATTGTATATTAATGACCACCCTTGGATAATCCCATTCAAAAGCAATTGGTCGCTTTCTTATATCTATGAACAGACCATACCCCTTAATTTAAAGAAATAGTAAATCAAAAAAAGTTCATTGGATTTTATTACAATTCAAAGAGCCGCTGCACCAATAAAAAATACGAATACAATACAAAACTTGAAATTAATTAAACACGTTCCCATACGATGTGGACTTTATCAGCGACACTGTATATTCCGTGATTCTTTTTTACCTGAAGGTGGAAGACAAATCGGCCAAACGTACGTATTAAAGGAGGTCGGTTGTGCTAGCCTAATGATGGCAATATCGTTATCGTAAGTGGACAAAACAAAGTCTTCGTGTTGTATAATTTCGGCGACGCTATAATCTTTAGATCGGGTTTCGTTCGGCTTGGAAAAATCATATTCTCCCAACCTTACGCGCATTTCAGACGCCGAAATCCTAAAATTGCCTTATGGACCCTTCGTATTATAAAACTGCAAATTTTACCCCTGGGCGCAATGCGCAGCAGTTAAAATATGAGTGTCGGTTATCAAGGCTCCACCACAAAATTGCTGTTCCAGTCCTTGCTGCATCTCTTTCATTCGATACAAAGCCGCCAACCAAGGCCATTCTTGAATTCTTTTCGCTTTCGTAACTCCATTTTCTCCGAGACCGCATCCTAACAAAGAGTTAGTGATCTACCTTTTGTATTACTTTCTAAGTCTTACCCGTATTATCGTCTGTGGCGTCGTAGTCTTCACCTCCTGCAGGTAAATCCATTATAAGTTGGGATCCGATTACACCACTTAACGCTATATCGTCCGGACAACAGACTCCGACAAATCTATTTTCAAAAAGATGAAACCAGAGTGTTACTGGCACTTTTTTGCAGGTTCGTAAAAATAAAAACCGATGCGACTTGAGTAAATTTTATGGTCTTAAGCACAATATTTTTTCGAATTTTTAAGAATTTTTGGAGAACAAAAGGGATAGAAAGGACACGAACAAAAATAAATATGTAATCTAAAAATGTCGTGTTTTAACCAGAATGGTGTTGGGACACAAAATGGCAATTTTCAAAAAATCTATAACAAATAACGTATCCTTACTTTTTACGCATTTGTGGGACATCACATTTGCGCATTGCACATTTATTTTTGTATCCTTTGTGCGGCCTCGTATCCCACTTCTAATTAGCAAAGTACTCGAGCTGCATTGTGACACCAGTTTGGTAAAAGCATTTGATGAATGAATCGATTTCATTTTATAGATTGGTGAATGAGCCAGTTAAACTCTATCAAATTGAAATCAATTCCATTTCGACACTATTAATCAAATGACAAAGACAAATTGCTTTAGTGGTATTATAAATAACAAATTAAACAACGAATTAGTAATCCTGAGACGCGTTATTGAATGATAAAACTATCAAACAAGGTTAACAGTTGATACGGTCGGTGTTCAGCAAAGTGATGCGTGAAAAACAACTCGACCTAGCGCAAAAAAAATGCCCAACATCAAAGCGCAATGCAATTATCAACATAATTATTACTTCTCAGCGCAGTTTGTTGTAAAATCGTCGGCCTGACCCCATAAATTGTTATTAATTATATTTCGACGCATCAAATATTTGTCGATGACTACTTACGTTTTTTCTATGATGCAAAGATACTCTAACGTATTTCTTCTCCCGGACAAAACGTCCATCGGGCAAAACGATAAATGCTTGCAGTGTCCCTTGGCATCGCCGGGACCGATGCATTCTTGATACCGTTTGTTCAACTGAATCAAACCCTCAATGAATTTAATTGAAGCTCGTCCGTCAAGAATGAACGCTCACCTTAAATTTCTTACTCAAACCCAGGTATCTTTTTCTTCTGACGTGGTCTACGTTCGAAAGTTCTCTTTCTATATCAGTGTCCATTAATATTCTTTCAGGATCTGAAACTCCATTCGGTATTCAAGGCATAATATGATGCCTTATTAAAATTCATCCTTACCTGTTCTTATGGATACACCATTGCAAAAACAAACGAGTTTGGAGAACAGAATTAATGAAATTATTAACTGCATTTTCAGCTTTTCTTATGCTCGTGAATGCGCGTGTCGACTTTATAAAAAAGTTTTTGTTCGTCAAAGATTACATCCTGTGTCTTATCTGACGCCGTCCGCTGGACTTCCTTTCGCGAAAATTTTTAACGCTACGTTCACATACGGGGTGTTAATTAATGATGTGGCGAGAGGTTCAGCGTGGGACCATTTTTTAAAGCAAAAAGGTTGGTGCAAACAGCAAGAGGCGACTTCATTGACTTATTTTTGTTTAATACAGGGAAGAATTCAATAATCAATCAAAATAGATAATATGAGAATTGTTAACAGCAATAGGATACCTAAGACAAGCTTGTGTTTTGTCAAAAAAAAATCTATAAATATCTTGACAGTATACGGTGTAATTATTGTATCAGGATTAAGAATCAAATTTACGTAACAAATTAATATAGCATATCTTCATACTGCAGTAAAAATTACAAATATAAACAAATAACCAAATTAGCTAAGTAATACGTAAAAAGATAGGAAAATAAAATAATTACCACAAGGATCTTAATGACCAATAATATAGATAGAACTGCAAATTTGTTATGATAATTTATTTAATTTTACTAAAATCATTAGAAAATAAATAATTCATTTTTAATTAGAACACAAAAAAATGAACATTGCGTTGATATACCGAACACAGAGAATTTGTAAATAAACAAGCAACATTTTTGATTTTACGAAAATAATTAGAAAATAAATAATTTTGCCTCGATACATGGAAAAATGTTAAACTCTGGCAAAAATAAAATAAGAAAATAATTATAAACAGTGATATATTAATTATTAATTAAAAATAACATCAAAATGCACACAAGATGAGCTGTAAATTTGTAAATAAACAAGGAGCAGTTTATCTCACTACATCAATTACACTCGAAAAGGTATAATTCAGTTTTTATTACAACAATTATAAAATTCTTCAATCCTACATCAGTCCTCGGACTCAGTTTGTAGAATTGAATTCTGCAAAATCCTAAACGACCCGCATCACATCTGGAATTCCTCAAGGGTCCCATTTGGGACCATTGTTATTTTCACTGTTTATCGCAGATGTCAGTAAATGTTTTCTTTTTGCTAAATCAGCATCATACGCAGATGATCAGAAATCATACGCCCCCGTGAAAAGCCGACTGTCATGAGTTTCAAGAAGATCTTGATCGTTTTTATGAATACTGTGTGAAAAATCGTCTTTTTTAAATATTGATAAATGTTACTGTCTTAAGTTCAGCAGCCGGATAAATGATATAAACTTTGACTACACATTCAATGGTGTAAAAATAAAAAAAGTAGAGCAGATTAGGGATCTTGGAATAACTATAGATGTAAAATTAAGTTTTGATATCCACATTGAGAATATATTAAAAAAAGCTTATAAAAATTTAGGTTTTATATTAAGAGTTAGCAAGGAATTTCAGAATCACAAATCGCTTATTATTCTATACAATTCCTACGTTCGATCTCACCTTGACTATGGCGGTGTGATATGGAGTCCTCAGTATCATAAATATATAGACAGAATCGAGAGAATACAAAAAAAGTTTGTTTTCCATTTAAATTTTAGATTTAACCGTAACTTACTAACTCATTCGTATGAATCTAGTCTTAATTTCTACCATATACTGAAGTTATCTGTTAGAAGAATTATCTCCAGTGCTATATTTTTGCATAATATTATTAATAGTAGGATTGACTGTCCTTTACTGTTGCAAAAACTATCCTTCAATGCCAGAGTCGTTATAACAAGAACTCCTTCATTATTTTACGTGCCTAGATTTAATACAAACTTAGGTAACAATTCCCCAATATCTCTTTTACATAGGCATTATAATAATTATTTTTCGCACGTTGACATCTTTGCGTTATCACTTAATTCGTTTCGAAATCAAGCAATTAGGGTTTTTCTATAAATTTATTTCAATTTTTGATTTGTTTTCCTTATTTTTTCACATTTTGTAATTCACGCACTTAATATACAGTGTTAGTTTTGGTTTAGTTTGGTAAGTTTGATTGTTATTATTATTTTTTTTTTATCTTCTGCTTATCGTAGATATAGGTGGGTACCTACTTATAAGTTTTACTTTGTTAATTAAATAATGGTATAATTGTTAGTGTGTCCTTGTAAATTGTGAAGTTAGTTCTTCATGTTAGGGCACCTTTGTAATAAATAAATAAATAAATAAATAAATAAACAAAAATATTTAATTTTGGTAGGCATTACCTTAATAGTAAAACTGTAACTCATTTTGTCGCACTTTAAGTCCCCTTCTTAGATTCTATTGATTCCTGAAGAATTCAAAGAATTCAGAAATCCTGTATTAGGTTGTTGGAATGAGACGGCGTCGCATGAATTAGATTTAGCTTGGTTGAATATGCATCGCAGGCGTCTTCGCAGTAAAGAAATATTTAAGAAGAGTTTGTGTTATATCATTGTTGTTGTTTTGTAAATAAGTTTAAATCGACACTTTTAGTACTAGAACGTTTTAGTATAAAAAATATATATAAAATGTGATGGTAGTGCTCGTCAGTAAATTTTATTTTTCCTCCTGTGTCATTTTTTAAAATAATCCTCTCTTATTTGCTGCTCATTTTCGATTATTCCGTTAGATTAGTCGTTATTAAATGTCTGCCGCCTCAACAGCACCCAACGAAGGTAGTGGTTTATTTTTGTTGAAATGTTTTGTAAATATGATTTTGGCAATTTTCTGACCGGACTGAGGTGGCTTTTACTTGATGAAAATCCATTTAACACAAATTAAATTAGAACAAAATATGTTCAGATTTTCACAGTTTTTTAATACTTTAGGACAGCTGTTTCGCAACCTCCTGCCATTATCAAATACAAAATATATTTTGATGAAGGCACAGTGTTGCCCAAACAGCTGTCATAAAATATTAAAAACTGTGTGCTGTGGAACTTGTAGGTATTGTACGACCAAAAATATAGTGCATTTATTGCTTTGACGTTTTAAGTATTTTACAGTACCTTAACCGCAGATCTTCGCATGACCGTGGTAAAACCCATCCCAACAGATGTTTATTCTTCATTAACTAGGTCTTGCCTAAGATGGACCGTAACGAATATTTGCAGAAACTTGAAATTTTTATTTGAAATGTAAGAATTGATGCTGCGGAGTATTTTCGAATAAGTAGGAGCGTTTATTTTAGAGTTTAATTTAAATGTTTATATATATTACGGAGGTATTTGACTATGATCCTTCCAGTAAGTATGTTTTTATGTACCTGATTCTTGAGTTTTGACATTGCGAAGCTGTTTTCACAGAATAGTTAATTTGTTAGAATGGGAAGTAGGAGCAGCAATAAAAACAAGTGATATGACCAAAGTTCCGAAGTCAACTGAAAGAAAAATTGTTGCCAGTGGGATAGTCAAGAGGAAAGTGAGAGAATATGATGCTACCTCGAGAGTTTTTTAAGGGCAACACGCGGATGTAATTAGGGGTATAATCTACGACACTTATAAAATGCCTATCCCTAGAATTGCATAAAAAAGTGCTGATAGATATATTAGTTGTGCCAAAAAGTCGTTGCCCACTTTTTTGAAGAAAATGGATCCTCAGTTCCGCGTAAATATTTGAGGACTGGTTGGAAAATAAACTGTTGGCAAAACTATCGCTAAATACTGTACAAATTAAAAAAATTCCAAATACTTCTTCAATCAAAGAAGAAATGAAAGAAGTTCTGTACGAAAAAACAACTTCTGGAATTATTAAAAATAAAACATTTTAATGAAGACGACAAAATCGATAGCATAACAAAATGGACATGAAATCTTGAGACTACCCCCTTATCATTATATATTTAACCCGATTGAGATGCTTTGGTCTAATAATATTAAATAACACTGCACCCAGATAGTACCGTAAACGTAATTTGGCAGAATATCATTGAAAATATCAAACAAAATATTTATCGAGAACGATTAGTGGCGGAGTTGATCATTGAACTAATATTAATATTAATATTATTAATATTAATATATTTAATATTTTGTATATTATTAATAATACTAAGTAGAAATGTACATAATAAATTGTTACTTTGTGCTAATTTTTGTATGTACATGTTCAAAAAATTCCTAGGATGGTGCTGGAATGGTGACGGGTGTGAGTATGTTCGGCAGGGTGTTCTATGAGGAGCTGAAGTTTTGGAGTAATAAACAGTAGGCAAAGATAATCACGGGGTCGGTTGTAAAAGCACTATAATTTTGATCCGAGTATACCTACACATATTCTGGATATTTCCTGCGTCGGGTGTTGACTCTGTCTCCGAGACATTTTGCCAAACATGCCGCTGGTGTACGTCAACCGTTTTACCGACCCTTCATATAGAATTTGATAAACAATTGTAAAAATGTGAGCACGTTTTTTTCTAATTTGTTGAATATAATATTAGTATTAACACAGGACACAAAATCAAAACCGTTGTGTTTACAAGTCGACGCCCCGTATAACAGCAAAACGCGGAAGCGTTGAAAAATGTTGTATATGCAAATGATAAATAATTATAAATAATTTTGATTTATCTGGGACAAGTATCCTTAATACCAAAAACTCGATAGTGCAGCATGTCATTACACTTTGGCTTTGCGATTTGCATGCGCCCACTTCTTCACAATCACCTCGCAGCATGTACGATTGTGTAAAAAATCGTTCTTATATATTACACTGATATTGTAATTGATCAAGTGTCTATAAACGGAGAATAACATTTTGCAATAAGCGAGTTCATAAAAATCGTAGTCGTTCTTGCCTTAACCGATGGGATTTAAAGATGGTCGACGCAATACAGTCCGATACGGACGAATAAAAATAAAAATGGCCCCATTCAGGAGTTTTTACGACTCGGTTTAAATCAACACTAAGGAGGGCCGTCAAATCGGCAAATTCGAATTACTAATTAGCGATTTATTTGGGTTTAAACCGAACCGTCATAAATATGCAAGAAGAAATTTAACTGGAACGTTAGACTTCTTATGGATTGCGTATATATATATTTGGCGCCAACACCTTGCCTCGGCGACAGTTTCTTGCATAACAACGAAATTTTAACAACTCGCTTGTATTCGACCGAAGTACCGCATATGGAAAAAGGAAAGACATCAATTTCAAAACGTGTCTATTCGATTTAACAATTTTCTCTACTGATTTGCATCAGCCTTAGATAAAATATGCATGAATAATCTTTTTTATCGCCGTAAAAATTTATTGTTTTATATACGTCTAAAAAAATCTACCCAGTTACAAAGCTACTATAAACTTTTATATACTACTCAAAAAAAAGTGTTTTGTTGCATTAAGCTCAATAAGACAATATAAATTTAAAAAATGCGCATTTAGTATTCCACTTTCACCTTCACTGAAAATATATTAACAATTTTCAAAAAAAAAAAAATAAAAATTCGTTCGTTCTTATGAATTTTAGAATATTTTTTCCAAATAGAAATGCATTGCATAAAAATATTATAAATTCGAACGAATATATATTGACTTTAATTAATCTGAAAATCATTACAAATTCATTCAAATAGAGAATTACTTTTTCATACAGGTTCTTAATTCGGTTAACTATGATTTTGACTTTTTCTTTTAAAAGATTACTCTTTATGCTAGAAATGGCTACTTTAAATGATCCATTCCATTTAGATTTTGTCCTCTTTTAGTCAGTTGATTCCATTCTTATAACTCTAATCTTGGTCATTCTTTAAAAGATTCCCTAGCATTTTATTTATTATATCAGAAAATCTATTTTTTGCTTCATTTTGTTGTGATTTTTTCAAAATAGTGTATCTCCTAATATTGAGTTAGCAGTAGATTTAATAAATACATAAATAAATTGAAAAAGAACGATTAATACGATAGACATAGTTTAATAAGAAGATATAAAGAAAATAATCGTCACTAGACTTTTTTGAGTAGTATATTTAAATAAAATAAATTTAATAGTAACAGTAGTTGTCGCAACGTATATTTTGAAATGCAAATTTGCATAATTGAATTTTAAATAGCATAAAACGATTCAATTAAAATCATATTGTGCCCCGGCCACAACTAAATCCTAATTTAATGACCAACAATACTGGCAATTTTGGAATAACAATGTTTATCATTTTGCCCAGCTGATCTATATATTTATAAATATTTTTTAATAAACCCGCTTATTTTGATAAACGTAAAGTATTAAACTTTAATTTTTGTTCGCTCACTCACTGCTGTTTGTTTCATCACATTTTGAATACGAAGAGCGGTCAGAAAATTGCGCTTACTCTTCTTGTACAAGTTCACTCACCGTAGCCTCCTTAGCTTTCCCCATGGGATTTTACTTAGTTTGAAAATTTGGGCATTCGCATGAAAAATGGTTGACATGTTTTAAAATCTAAAAATTTCTTGTACCAGTTTTCTTGATCAAACCCGATACTAGGTCGTCAGGCAGTCTTGAAGTGCAATTTTTTGATAAGAATACGTCTCGTTTTATCTTAATTACGTTAAAAATAATAAATATAAGCGCAAATACGTTTTGCAGGTCACGTAGACATCGTGGCAAATTGTTACGTCAACGAATTTTTAGTATAGAAAATTTATTTTGTGAATTATGAACATAATAATAATAATAATATTAAATATTTTGTTTGACAAAACAATGTACAATAATTCAAACCTAAATATTGATGAAAAGGATGAACACCAGTATTTTTGTTAATATAAATTATAACTGGCTGCGTAATTTTCAAGCGATCACCCCTTTAATGGTGCTATTTATGCATAACCAGATATTTATATCTCGACACCAGAACATGTACTGTAATCTAAACTACTTGGCGATACTTTATTTTCAAGAAATCAAAACGAAAACAAAAACACATCAACGATCAAGGCCGGTAATAATTTTTCAATCGCCTACACAAACGCAAGCCTCTAAGAAACCTCACATTAAAAATTAAAAATGAAAAAATTTACAAACAATCGTCACCTCTCGTAAATTATTTCGTGTATTGCTCTTTATGCGTCTTGTAAAATAATTATTTTGTAACAATATGGTTAATGTCTGGTGCCATGTGTGTTGGCAAACTTTACGTGGGGGGATAAACCAGTTGAAAACTACGTATGTAACCTGTAACATTATTTAGAGCTTATTTGATTTACAATTGCAATTGTAAAGCGCGATTAAAATGTTATTTTAGCAGCGACGACAGTATTTGCGTACAAATAAAATTTTGTTGCAGGAAAAACACGCGATTCGTTATGCAAAGGAAATAATTTCCTTTTATCCAATCAAGCGTACTTATTTCTAGACGATGAAAAGAATTTTTTGCCCACTTCGAACTAACCGTAAATCATTTATGAAACTGCGAAAAGAAATGAATTGCGTTTTTGTTTCTTACCCGGATGAAAGTTCCCCGGAATTGATTTAACCGAATGCAGAACTGAAAGTTTAATATTCTTTATTAGTTGAATTTTTGTTTCAATAAGTGCCCTCGCTGGGAACTTGCATTCCTTCTGGGAACTTTTGCTAATATTTACGATTATTCTTAAGTAAAGTAAACAATTATTTTCAAATAATTCAAAAGGTGTATAATGTTTTCTTTTGTTTTTCAAAAATCTCAACCAGTTTTAGCAAAAATAAAATACAAAGTGATTCATTAATTAACACATGGCCCCAATTTAAGGGCAGTTTCGCAGCTTGGTAAAAGAAAAAAGGATCATGTAAACATGTTCGAAGATGCTTTGTGTTCTAGATACAGGGTGTAAAAGATTTGTTTTTGTTTTATTCAATTTAAAATAATTACCTGAAATTTCGAGTAGTACAACGCTTTTCGATATCTTTGTTTTTGAAAGTATTTTAATTGTCTAAGATTCTGAAGATTCACCCTTGAATTTCGACTGTATAATCTATCTGTTAGTATTCCTGAGAGCATTTTTCTCGTCAATTTAAAGTCACGTTTTTTGTATCAACATATTTTAGTATGTAGGAACCAATGATAAAGTTTCAACAAAGCAAAGGAACTAAAAAAACTTAAATCATATTTTTTTATTGTAAAATGTTTCTCTTGAGTGTCAATCGATAGAATAAAAGACCAAATTTCAGTTTATTATTTTAAAAATTTAAATTGTGGGAGGTGAATAAAAAAATACATGAAACTCACTAAATCTAATTTTTAATACCGACTTTGATGAATATTTTTTTATTAAATAAGTTTCATATTCTTTAACCATGTCGAAACGCTTTACCAAATAAAAATTAACAAATTATATTCAATTAATACTAAATTCCAAAAATGATTACTTAATTACCAACCAGGTATTATTTATCATTTCCAATATTTGTATTTAAAAAAATTAAATAGTCGGATAAATTTTTAGTACAAAATCTGCAAAATTAAACGATTCTTTATTATGCTTACTGTTGCTAGCATATGTTTAAAACGAATTTATCGGATATTTAAGGCAACCCGTTTTTCTGACCCAACTACCTCAGCTTCGAAGAAAGAACCTTTGAAGAATTTACTGACACATATTTCACTATTTATTCAATTTGTTCTTGTTAAAATATAAATTGTAATTGTCCTATAGATGTGGTTGCCATTAGATCCTCGTAATGGTGAAACAATATGAAAATAATCTTTATATCTGCTTAAAAGATTCTCAAATGAAAAATCCTCGTATAATGTGGAACATTGTTCTACCAGTTTTGTCAGTAACGTGAAATTGTAATAAAGCTGATTTTCTTTCTTTTTTTTTCTTTCATCCCAGCATCACTTCTTCAGTGTACGTCGCCCTGACAGAGAATGATATCTATAAAAAGTCGATCTTCTATCCCAACATCCATCCAACCTGTTCTACTCTCAAAGGTACTACTTCGGAGACCTGCGCAATGGTCGGGACAAGTACCGCTTGCCGAGATGAAACGTATTCGAGCAAAACCAAGTCTATTCAGTCGTACCCACAGCCGTGAAGCGAAGTTTTGCGCGGTACTGGTCTATAACGATGTAATTTATCTGAAACAACCTTACCCCAAGGTCGTTCATTAATCTCTGTAATTTTTGAGGCATCTGTTTTGAGTTTTTCGCACTTCGCTTGTTTGCAGTCACACTGTGAAGTTGGAAAGTGCTCGGTGTGTTAGTTGCGGCTATTTAGTCGATTATTTGCGAATTTTGTAGCAGATTTTTCGATGCGTTGGAAAGTTGGACAATGTTTTGCTGCCTCCCTACTTCTCGTGCGGAAGAGTGACCTCTTACAATGCTGCCTATAGATCTTTTTGCTTGTAAGTGTTGTCATTTAAATTTTTAACGTCTCTTAGACATATATCAACAATGTATCGAGTGTTAAGGAGAAAGAGATCACTGATATCTCGAAAGCTTACCTAATCCCAGCGAGGTCCCCTAAATAATGGGTAAACGGTTTTTATCAGTTTACCCAGACAAGAAAAAATTAAAATTGTTGATTTTATAGAAAGCCGGTGTTTGGCACTTTGGGTCTCGGGTCTTTAGTTTCCCATTCTTATTTAAGATAATATTGAGAATTGACAGAGGCTAATGCAAAACTAACGAGCTCGCCCTATTTTCATGCACCTGATATTTCCGTTTAAGGTTACTAATGATACTATTAACTCGTTTATTTTTATTTTTAAGTCAGCGCTAAATGGACAGTTCAATCAAATGTGTCGTATTTTTCGCTGACAATGAACTTAAAATAATTTTGGTATTGTTTGTAAAACCGGTTCGGTTCAAGCGAAAACAATAACAATTTAAACGTTGTCGTACCGAAACCGTGTTCGTCAGCAATTCAAAATTGGGTCGTCAATTGCAAAAATAAGAATGGCAAATACGAGGATCAAAATTGCCGGAACAAAGAACTGAGCCCTCGGCGGTAAACTGCTTTAATGATGTAAAAAGAAATTGTACATTGTTATGTTATCTTTATGGCGTTTGTATTTGAAAAAAAAAATGCAATTCCAGCATGTCCGATATTAAAGACATTTGACCTAACCTTACAGCTGTATTTCTAAGAATTTAATACGTATTAGTTTTGTTGAGTACATTGGTCTTGGAAGTTTTACAGAGATTGAGGGCAGATAATGTTAGATAGTTGGTCAAACAACGAAAGCTTGTAGGTTATTGAGGAATTGAGGAAAACTAGCTTGAGTTAATTTTATATTCTAAACCAAATACTTAATATTTCATTAAAACGCAGAAAAACACTATGTACGCAAACACCAAGGTGTATTTATAAAATGATAAGATAGTCCGTTGAAAAATCGTAAGCTTGTGATAAACAATAAACATTTGACATATTTTTATCTATTTCACCAAAGCAATTTTTTATAAGAACGTTTTCTATTGAGGTAAATTGTTTTCTTATTAGAAACTATGATTCTGCGAAGCTGACGTATTAAGTTCTATCAAATAATCCGAGTTGAACCTGATAGAGATTTTCGTTATTAAATTTAATTAAAATTTCAGGACTATAATGAAAAATTCAGTAACATTACCGAGGAAAGCGCATATGACAAAAGTATTTTTTTTATTATTTATAGTTAAGCTTAATGCAAATAATGTCATTTTACAAGCAAGTAATAAAAAGCCCTTAATGGTGCCTGAATTAATATTTAAATATTTTTTTATATCCACTAATGAGGTTAAGCAACCGGAACAAAATCCATCTCCTGCACTCTCTTTCCCTACATAATTTATTAGATGGTAAAATGCAAATTTTCCAATTTAATACGTAAACAAATTCAAATAATATTTTTTAAGAGAGCTAGAACATAATAAGTAAAATTGCAGTGAAAGCAAACTGTCATGTCCAATAATGCAGCAAATTAATTTACTAAAGGCGTGAATATTTGAAAGTAACTTTTTTACTTTAAGCTTTGGGAATAAATTTAATTTGCAAAATGGCAATTTCTTCTCGGCGGATTTGGTTGGGTCAGGCCAAAAGGCGGAAAGGAAATCTGTTTACTTTAAAACCGCATCGAGTTTATAATATATGTTCGATGTGCATCACTTATACTGAGCGTTCCCCAAGTATATATATATATATATATATATATATATATATATATATATATATATATATATATATATATATATATATATATATATTAAAATCGACGGGTGTAAAAGTTGCAGAAAAAAAACAAAAATTACATATCCTTTACATATACTTATATTGAATTTGTTGTCTATATTTTTTTTAATGACGTCTAGGATCGGAATAGGTCAACAGCTTTTCATAAAAGAAATCAACAATATTGATTGCTTGTTTAATGAAATCTTCCGTTTTTCTGACATATCTTATATCTCTAACAGTGTTATCTCCCGAAACGTTAATAACAGTGAGTTGCGTTTAAGATTGATGAAGTGTCAGTTAAGCGGGAAAACTAATACTAGATGTAAATTGTAATTTACAAGGCTGGTAACAATTCGCGGTGCAACAACAATAACGCGGTAACAACGTTTTCACACTGCCGAGAACACGCGGATGTTATTTTTCATTTTACGAACATGAGTTCACGCTGATTTTGTAATTCTTAGCTCACAAATGCCAAAATCAGTCACGAACTTCCATAAGCGTAGGACGCTGCTGGTACTCTCGATCAATAATTTTGTTAAAGCATCGAGACCTAGACCGAAACGTAAAAATGTTCTAAATTTTTCGAGAGACTTTATTAAGATTCGTGACTACCGTCGTTTGCTAAAGTGTCGGAAAACGTGCCTTTTAGGAACTTTAATCTGTATAAATCTGAAGAGCACGCCCGTGCCACGATCGTATTAAACGTATTTTACAATTTATTAGAAAGCTGACACTACAATGGTCGTTCCTTTTTGTTAATTATTTATTTGGTCATGAATACGTTCACGGGCAGCCCATTTTTAAATTCGTCATGCATTATTACACTACGCGCTTTTGACGTATGCGGAATATTAAAATAATTAGTGCGTAAATTAAAAGCGGATTTTTAAAAATGGCGCCACTATCGTGATCCATAACACAAATTGTATATGTACACACAGCCCACTCGGTTTAGAAGATTTTCCAAAAAGGGCGACGCGAGGTCAAGTTTTAATTTACAGTAGGCTCTCGTAAACATTACCAATTTCTTAAGCGCATATATACGAAATTTACTTTACTCCGAACGTTAAATAATAACTTTGCTAATCGTTAAAATCTTTAATGATTCGAAATCCTTGATTCGTTACGAATCCGACCTCGTCCTGTGAAGCTATTCTTCAAAAAGGAAAAATTTCTCTGTTTTTTTAAAATACATTTTAACATTATAGGGAAGCACGACTTTTGGCTGTTTGGCCAAGGAATAAACTTAAAATTCTACAGAGTTAGCACATCTCCCTCAAAGCCTCCTCAAAATCGACATTGACAATAGTCAAGTTGGTGAAGGTCCTCCATTATTATTGCGATTTTGGGCCAAATATTAATTGAATTAATGACGAATAAAAACTTCCCTGTTGTTTTAATATAAATTTTTCAAGAAAAGTGCGTATTAATATTTTAGCTAAACACGCTCACAAATTCAAGAATAGGATTTAAGGAAAAGATCGTAGACAAAATATAATCGAGTACCTACGTAGGAAACCCGGTCTAAGAAATAAAAGGTCTGCGGGACCGTCATATAGATAAAACGAAAACTGACCTGGCTGGTATACAAGACAAACTATAAAAATAAAATTTAAAATTCAATAAGTCCCCTGTCAAGCTGCCTTTTCGAATTTAAAACAGCCTTTTGTTTAATTTTTCACTCCAGCCGGGCGTTTTATTTCCTACGGCAAGTAGGCCAAACAAGTTCGTTTTGATTGTATCGACCACTTTTGTTTTTTTTTGAACGTCAAAACGTTGCTTTCCAGACGGGTTGATGCTGATTGCGCCGGCCGCGTGGCTATCAGATGTTGCATTAATTTAGAGCACTTATCGAACCCCGGCTTAATTTTAAACGACATCTAAATACCGTATCGAGTTTAACGCGTCAAAAATAAATCCCTTTCAATGCAACTGTTCAATCGTGGGATTGCTATATGAAGTTAATTATTCAGCAGGAGATTTAGTACAGTTATGAATTAATATTACGTGATTTCACAGCCACTCTCGATCGTCGGGCGAGAAAACAGGAACACACTCTTCTGTTTGAACAGATACTTTGAAGATGTTGACTTTTCCGTTACTTACTTCATTATTCAAATAAGATGACATTTTTATCGTGATGCATTTCTTGTGAAGCGCGTGTGAAGCCTAAATCAACAACTCGCCTTGTTTAATTTATGACTTTGCAGCAAAGAGATCGTCCGCAATTAGTATAAACCAAACGCAAGCCGCTTTTTGCCACAAAACGTATATACTAGCTCCCAATTTTTGTTTCAGAAAATGCCAGAATGTCAGTAAATGGCATACCGTTGCGCTTATCGATAATTTTAATCGGCTTCCAATTGGCAGTAGCTGTTTACGACTTTCGTCATATTTCGTACACAGGTTAGTATTATTGTTGTCGTGTTTGGTGATCAAATGACCGATTCGCGAAATATAAGAAACCGAAAACATATTTATTACGTTGTCGCAACATTATCACCTCTGGTTAAGGTAAATAAATACACTTAAGAATCAACGAGTTCATCTGAAAGACAAGTGCTAAGTCAACAACTGGAATCTCCCTATCTGAAAATGATATCTCTGTAATACCTCTTTGCTCACGTGCATATGCCACGTCCTCGTTTTGTTACGTAATTTCACTCAAAGCAAGTTAAATTTATCAAAAAAAAACCTTCAAATTTCGTTGTAGGTGCAACCCAACTATTAGGTATGATCGCCACACATCCTGAATGTATGTGTATATTCATACTTTGTTCATTCTATCGTATAAAGTGATTAACAGAAAATTCGGAGGTATAATGATTTAGGCCGCCAGCTTGGCGCATGCGGGGTGGATAAGTGGATCGTGCGATGGGTTCGATTTATTTTCAGATCTGCATTCGTCGGTTCATCGCTTTTCTCCGGAAGGCGTTACGTCGTATTCCCAAATTCTCTTCGACATATCGAGGAACCAAGTGTTCGTCGGCGCTAGGGATGTGTTATACAGGCTGTCCCTATCGACGCTCGACTTATTCGAAGCCGCTCACTGGGAAGCGCCCCAGAATAAAATCTATTCCTGCATATATAAAGGACAGACGGAAGAGAACTGCCACAATTATATAAAAATATTGCTTACTAATGGCAGACAAATATTCGCGTGCGGAACAAACGCGTTTGCGCCGCAGTGCTCATGGAGAGAGGCAAGTTTCCGTACGCTCCATCTAGCAGCGAAACTTGAAACCAAATCTCTTTTTATCGTTTCAGATCGACAATATATCGAAGGTCACGGAATTAGTGGACGGGATCGCCAAGTGTCCTTACAATCCGGCAGCTAGCGTAACGGGATTCATTTCGGACAATTCGGAGTACTATTTCGGCGGTACCACCGACTTTTCCAGTTCCGACGCGTTGATCTCGAAAAGCGTCTACGGCCAACCGACATTAAGGACCAAACAGTACAACAGTTTCTGGCTCAACGATCCTCAGTTCGTCGGTTCGTTCGAAACGTCGCAGTTCGCGTATTTCTTCTTCAGAGAAACCGCCGTCGAGTACATAAACTGCGGCAAAGTCGTATATTCGCGCATTGCCCGCGTGTGCAAAAACGACCAAGGCGGTCACACCATGCTCAAAGACAACTGGACGACTTTCGTCAAAGCGCGGCTCAATTGCTCGGCTAGCGGCGATTATCCGTTCTATTATAACGAAATTCAAAGCGTCGCTTACGTACCCGAACAGGATATAGTATACGCGACTTTTACTACACCTTCGAATAGCGTAGCAGGTTCGGCTGTGTGCGCTTTTAATATGAGCGCTATTCATGACGCATTTAACGGTCCTTTTAAGTACCAACCCGATATGGGAAGCGCGTGGACGCACCACGACGTCCCTAATCGGGACCATTTGGATTGCAAGGCGTCCAAACATAATTTGTTAGAAACCGTACGTTATCAGTTAATGGACGGGGCGGTACAAGCGGCGACGTTAGACCCTTTGCACGTCGCAGAGTTGGAAAGATTCACTCATATTACCGTCGACGTCGTTACCACTAAACAACACGAGTTGGTACACGTGATCTACGTTGCCACACAAGTGGGTGTCGTTAAAAAACTCGCGTTTCACACGAAGAGCAAAGTAACGTGCGTGGTGGAAGTCTGGCAAACTACATCGGATTCCCAAACGATTAAAAATATGCAGTTTTTGAAGGAGACAAATTCCGTTTACGTGACGACCGATAACGGATTGATGAGGATACCGGCGAATCACTGCAGAAGACATTCTTCGAAAGAGAGCTGCGTCAACGCGATGGATCCGTATTGCGGATGGAACGAAATCGAAGATACTTGCACGACCGCACCGAGAGGTGAGCCGCACCATAAGTTTTGGAAGCAGAAAGCTAACGCCTGTCCGGTATTGGATACCCCAATCAACGGCGGTTGGAGTAGTTGGTCGGAATGGATCACGTGCTATCATCGGATATCATCCGAGATGGATTATTCGGCAGATCAGTGTCAATGTCAGACGCGACAATGCAATAATCCAGCACCCGCGAACAACGGCTTGCCTTGCGAAGGCTTGGCCGTCGCCGTGACCAACTGTACCGTACACGGCGGTTGGTCCGATTGGTCCGCTTGGTCGGCTTGTTCGGCCAGTTGCGGAACCGCCGTTAAGACCAGATCTCGCACCTGCACCAATCCCGCACCCGCCTTTGGGGGGAGGTAATTAAAAGATAATGTTTTTTTTATTATTTAAATAGCAATGGTTATTTTTCCTATCGCGCGCAAAGCGGACTTTCTCTTCATCTGTTTAAATATAGTGGCAATGAGACCAGATATCGTTACGATCGTATTACAGCCATTCATTATTTTTCCACGTACACCAAATCGATCGTGTGTTTTTTATGCGGTCATTTTTTGTTCTACCATCGATTTCATTCACAAGTTGATTAATGTCGTCTACACTAATACTGATAATAAGTTATATTAGACGCTGTTCCCAAATTATTTATTGTCCACCATGCTTTTATTAAATACAGAACTGACGTCTATAAATATAAAAGAGTGTTAATGAATTGTTGATTAGCAATTATTGTAGAATTTTTACATGAAAATTTATATTTAGCAATGGAAATTTTATTTTATTTTATTTTTAAACGCTCTTTTATCTTCGTTAATGCGTTTCTTGAACGCATTTTGTGACCACATTGACAATATTTTTTGATAGGTTCTCCTATGTATTTGGGATCGGTGTTCAATATGAGGTAAATAGAGTTCAGAGTTATTTGAAACTGTTTTTTTAGTTAGAATCTTATCAATCAAAGAAGAAACGTTGCAATGGTTACGATCCCTCTTTGATAGATAAAATTTTAACTTATAAACAAAGGCACAGCTAATGTTTGGCCTCATGGTCAAGAATCCCTCCGAGATATTCTAAGCCATCTAAACTCTATATACTCTAACATATGTTTTACCATTGAATTAGAAACTAATATTAATCTCCCACTCTTAGATATTTTATAAATAGAAAATTAAATTAGCCGGCCCAAAAATCATCGGTTATCAACTCTCTTGTTTACAGAGCCTTAAAACTATCTCATCCCGACTCACTGAACTCAGAATTAAAGCATTTTAAATCTGCTCTTCTCTATATTTTCGTTCCTTCACAAAAAAAAGGCACAGCTGTCATACACCAATTAAATAATTTGGGAACATTTGAATATCGTTTGTCTTGTTCACGAGAATAAAAGAAAAATATACAATCAATCAAGAACGACAAAGAGAAAAAGATACAAACAAAATAGCCAATACAAATTGGACAAAACGTAATATGTAATGTAGATCTCTGAAGAGCAAGCAGATTTAAATTGTTGTGATTTTAATTGCATTGTGTTGTAAACACAAGGTTTGCCTGACATATAAAAATATAAATAAGTGTATAAAACTGAAAATATTTGAAAATTGAACGAAGCTGCTGTCTGCAGGATAGATAAGTTAATTTTGTCCTTCTCCATTGGAGAATTAATTTTCGAAATCTTCGTCGTAGGGTATGCGTTGGGCAAGATAGAATTGAAGCATTTTGTTCGGAAATACCGCCTTGTCCTGCACAGCCGGTCGACGGTGGGTGGAGTTCGTGGTCGGTATGGTCGGCCTGTTCCGCAAATTGTGGCGGCTACAAAATTCGCCAGAGGAAATGCGACAATCCGCCGCCCAAAAACGGCGGGCAACATTGTAGAGGGAACGACGTCGAATACGAAAAATGCAACGAGAGTTTATGCGCCGAGCAAAAGAAAACGCACATGACCGAATGGATCACCGACTACAATATCTCCAACAACGGTTTCCACCAACGGAGATATAAGATTACGTGTAAAGCGCCCACCAGGCACGCCCATCAAATAAAAATGACCGTTAAAGATGAGACGCAAGTGTGTTTGTCCAATAAGCAATGCGAATCAGAAGACGAGCAGATCGGTTGGAGTCCGTGGACGAATTGGAGCAAATGTCCGGTGAATTGTGGTGGAGGGACACAGTTCAGAACGCGATTCTGTCTCAAGGGTAGAAGTTGTTCCGGTAAATTTATTCCTTCGATTATGAAGGCTTATATCAAACTTTTTATTGAACAATTTAAGGCACCTCTACGGAAACGCGTGACTGCAACAAGCACGCCTGCGAGGACAGTTGGGGATGTTGGTCCGAATGGTCCCCGTGCAATGTCTCTTGCGGATGGGGCGTAAAGACCCGATACAGGGAATGTTTGGGGCACAACTGCAGGGGTGTGGCGCAACAAGAACAGCCATGTCAAGACCAGCCGTGCGAGAGTAAGTTTTATCCAATTTCGAATATTATTCAAAAGGAAGCAGCAGCCAACAACTTATCTTTAACTCCAAAGTGTCTTTTGAGTCATATTGTAATTCAGAATTTATACTACGAGCCTCCGAAGGCTCTAGAAGCCCAAAGTTATGGTGAGATGGATCCTTGAACATTCCTCTACAGTTTGGAACCCTTGGTATGACAAGTATATTGGTCAAATGAAAAAAAAAATTTTTTTGCTATGACCAAAGACGTAGTAAAAGATCGTATTTGGATATAAGTGTTCTAAAGCCCATTATGACCGCGTTTTCCACCTAGGTTGTTTTCAATCTATACATTTTAAAAAGAAAACTTCATAAGAACGTGTCCTAAACGAGTTAACTTTTGAGATGCAGGGTGGTAAAACATATTTTTTTAATATCTGTAATTCTCTAATTTTTAATGAAATTTGCCACACATGTACTATGTATCAAGAGGCATTATTTAATGCACCCCATTTTTTTGTTAAATGCGCCAGTGCCGGAATTTCACATATCTATTCTGACAGACATTGATGATACGCCAATGATTTCTCTTAAAATAAATATTATCCTTAGAATATCCAATCATTTCTAAAGAAATTTAATTTCTTGATTTTTTTTCCATCCGATGTACGGTTTGCTCTTAAAAAAGTAAAAACTTCCTCTCTGCATGGTCATAACAATATTGTTAATATGACAACATACAGAGAATTATTGTTTATGTGTTTTAATAAAATACTTCAAAAAATCGAAGTACCAATACAAATTACGTAAACTTAAATAAATAAAATAAATTTAAATACGAATCGTTTATTGTGTTATGTCACTTCATTAGAACTGTAAGCCAACTATTTTTTTTTCTGAAGTTTATTAACTAACCAAAATTTTACCACCATATATTTCAAAAGTTAAGAGGTTTAGGACATATGTTCATTTGAAGATTTCTTTTTAAAATGGACATTCAATTCGAAAACCCCCTATATACTATAATGTACCTGCAACTGTTGTTCACACTAATTATTACGGGAACCTTCCCCTAGTACGATGCGCTCGTTAATGTAACGCCTTGTGCCAAAATACCTTGAAAGAAAAATTAAAAAGTACTATTTTTTTAATTGTCGGATCTACTCCTGGTTCGTGAAATTTCCAGTACATTTTTGTCTATCTGTGGATTAGCATTTCTTCTTAAATTGATATCTATTGATTGTACTTTCTCTTGCAGATATCTTAGGCTGGGGCAATTGGACCGAATGGTCTTTATGCGACGACAACAACGAGCAACATAGGAAGCGTACGTGTTACACGCAAAACCCGGGGCCTCAGATGTGTCAAGGCAATTCGGTACAAACAAGAATGTGTGTAGGAAACATACTTACCAACGGTACGCTTTTTATCTAGTTAAAATAGCTCCATATTATATTACGAGTGGGTTTCGTATATATGAATATTAATCGACGACGACTTTATTTTGATATTTTGTTTGTTCCCGTTAGAAATAAATGCCATGGGTGTGCAAATAGACGACTGCTCCTGCACATCGACGGCCTTGTCGTTATTCTTTCTGGGTATCATAATCGGACTGCTGCCGGGTGTGATATGCCTGTTGTGTCACATATTTAAGAAGAAAAAAAATCGAATACCTAGCTCTCCGCATTATATAACGAAAGAAAATACCTACATGCGCGTGCCAAGGCGGGAGAAGAAGCTATCGGGATCCCCGACGATCTACAGTGGCGGCGCAAACGGGACGTTGAAGTCGATAAAGGCGAAATTCGATTTTGAAAACATACCGACGTTAAAAAGGCAAAGCAATGAAATGAAAAACGGCCACGCCAAACAGTACTGCGACAATGACAAATATTTATACGAATAATTCGACTGATTAGTTTTAAGTTTTATTTATGTGATACGGGGGGGTTTCGTAGATTAGAAATCGACGCCATTCCTAATCCAAACTCTGCGTTTGAAAAATAGTTTTTCCTCGTTATCTACCTCTTTTATCGCTTATCGAAAAATGTCTCCCATTCGCGATACCAGCGGCAGCTATTTCAGATCAGCGCTCGTATTCGAAGCGCAATTCTTCGCGTATATATGCAATAATGTTTATTTTACTAACAATAACATATGTACCTGCCTAATATTTCCTTTTCTGTCTATTTAAGTGCGTAAACGCGACATTATCGTTGCACTTTGCCATATTATTGCATAAGATATATATTTTTTCTGTAGTATATTTTTGATTTTTCGAAATTTTATTAACCAATCGATTTTATTAAAAGACTTGTAAATAATCTATCCCTCATATTGAGGCGCGATTAATGATGAATATTGTATATTGTCATGAAATAAATTTTTATAACATTGCGTAGTTATTTCCGCAATTATACCCACTACTTACAGAGTGTTTCAAAACATATACCAAATATTAAAATATTCTGGAAGATAATTGAAAAATATTTGCACAAAGTGCAACTGTTTGACAGCAGCCAACTAATTTATTTTTCTGAAATGTTTTTTCGGCATGCATTTTCTTTGGAAATTGTAAATTTTATGAAAAAATTGCAGCATACAAAAATTTCTATGCCCTCCACTCATTAAAAAAAAAAATATGCTGTGTTTTAAGTAATACATAACATTTTATTGTTCGACCTATTTTCCTTTTTAAGATAAAATTGAAAAGCATTATTTTCCCCGCCATATTTGTAACGCGATATCTCCCTATTAGTTGGCTTCGGACTCAACTGTTTCGCATAAAAAAAGTCTTTTTGGTAACCAATTTTTATTTTGCGGCAATACATGGCGGAAAATAACATTTGCGTAGTTCACATTATCCTATATTTATAAAAAATCACAGGCAACATTTAATTAAGTGCGCTTGTTGCGGCAAAGCGTGTGTGTAACGCATGAACGTAAAAATTATAAACAGTGGAATAATAATACATATATTTATTTCTTTTTAATCTTTGGCGAGGTTGACTGGAATACACTAGATGCGGACATTAAATTCTCAATGTATTGTCCGAGGACTTGATTCTCGGAGCGCAGCTTTAGGTTTTCTTCCTTCACACTATCCACCCGCTGGGACAAGTCGTCTAAGGTGTTCTGCAATTCGAGGACTTGGGAAATCAAACGAGCCTTTTCCTCCTGCTCATCAGGACTCGTGTCAGGTTCAAGACTGTTGTGCTGGGGACTAGAACTGCCGTTTGTAAACTGAGACTGTATAGAATCCATACTCCTTCCGTGAATCATACTGGAAGAATTACCCTCTGACATAGAATTTGGTTCGGGTTCATCGTTGATTATTACTAAAATTATTTACGTTTCAGATTAAAGAATTTTCATCTTCTTTCTGAAGTTACCTTGGGGATCGTCGTCTGCTAAAGGAATGTCATCTTGTAACTTGGAAGCAGACATGGGTATGGAGTTTGTGAAAAATATTTGTTGACAGCAAAATTTAAAGGAAAATTGATATTTCCAATAAATGTCATTCACAGATCGGGTATAATATGGAATCCACAGATCAACCATAACGTAAATGGTCCCTACCACACCAATTTCAAACAATATATTCTAATCTTATTCGTTACATAAAGTAAATATCATATAATATATAATAACAATTATTAGAACCGTTCTCACATATTTCTTATTTTAGGCGTCTTGCCTTTAACTCCACAAAAGTAGTTGGGCCACTGGCCTCGAGGCGTCGCCTGTGGTCCATAATAAAACACATCCCAAGGGCGCAAACGCGAAGGGTTTTTATCTTTATCTATAATTTTATATAACTATGGCCGTGCTTATGAGAAGCCGAAAGTAAACAAAGAAGTTTGTGAAGTCTTTACTCAAAAAAAAATCACCAATACCTTAGCCTTTAGGGAACTGTGGCCAACGTCGTCTTCAAGTCAGAGGTAATTTTTTCTCGTGCCTTTGTCTCATGCAGGTTTAAACAGTGCGGGGGTGCATGTTTTTAGTTGTTGTTTACATTTTTACGTATACATGGAAGGTTTTGATGCCATATACTACGAAGAAGAGGTAGAAAATAACGAGGAAACGGAACCAGCTGATGTATCGCTGGTACCCGATCCTGTTATCATAAGAGGTGCTGGTAACATGACAGTGTAAGTTTTTTGCATACAATGTCTGAAAGCATGTTATTTTTACTATTCTTCGCAGATTTGGTTTAAGCAATAGATTTAGCACTGAATTTCCCAGCGGGTTAGTGTCGAGAGTGGCACCTGAGGAATTTAAAGAAACTGTCATGAGGATAAATGGTATTTTAAAAAAGACTTTACCTGTCAATGTTAAATGGTTATTTTGTGGTTGTTTATGTTGCTGCTGTACATTAGGTTGTTCTTTATGGCCTGTTATTTGCCTTAGTAAACGTGTAAGTATGCACATTAGCAATTTAATGTTGACGCATTTATATTTAATTCTGTGGTGATTTTTTTTAGACACAACATTCCTTGAATAAATTACTGGAATGGGAAAATAGCTATTTATATAACAAATTGGGATTACACTGGCGTTTAAGCAAGCAACAATGTGACTCTTCCTCCATGATGGAATATGTGATTTTAATAGAATTTTTGCCAAAAGTCCCCATATATCGGCCGGACTAGCACAGCCTACATATCATAATCTTTGGTTGAAATTTTAAACTGAATCTCTTTTACTCTGTAAATAATGATATATGTGATAATAGACATATTATATAAAATGTGTGTTACTTTTGGGGAGAACACCATAGTTTTTGTACTTCTGTTTAAATTGTACAGTTCACTAGAATAGTTTAACTTTAATGGATTGTGTAAAGCTAAATGCATTTATTCATCTATTTGAATATGTAGTATTAATTTTTTTCCTGTTATTTAGTGCAATTAATCATGTTATCTTTAAGCAATTTCGCAGTAATATAAGTAGTTATTAATTGATATTGTTATTATATGTTTGTACCAAGTTGCTGCATTGTTTTGTAAACTTTTTTCATTAGTTGTTAACATTATTGCCCAATCAGCTATTTTTAGTGAGAAGTTAAATAAAGTAACTCAAATTAGAAAAATGTACATTTATTTTTTTTAAATATACCTTATATCAATTTAATGAACATATATAAAAATAATAGCCAATAGATAGGCACATCAGTATCACATTTTTAATGTGGACGTTTACATGTAAAATCACAATAATAATCAAGACGCGGCATTGTTTTACAGATTTTTTGGAATTCTGTTTACAAAGTTTCTTGGAAACTGGCCTTCTCCATTTTCTGATCTGCCATATAACCATTCCTCCGATATTTTCCTGATAATTTTAATTTTTTCTCCAGCTTGAAATCCCAGATCCCCTTCCATTTCCGGCTTGAAGTCATACACTGCGGTTACTATATTTTCTTCTGATTTTAGCGGCACCTGAACTTCAATGAAATTTTCGGGGAACATTCCTTCTTTGTCAAAATTTTTTCCATATAGCCATTCGTTGTTTATTCTTTTGATAATAATGATTATATCCCCCTCCTGAAATACATTATGGATTGGTGACATTGTAAATAAAAAAAATTGAAGTAGCACTTACCTGAAATGTGAGATCGCTAGGATCACTGCCTGGGTAATCATACAATGCAACACCATAGGAAGTCTCAACTTCAACATCCACTTTAGGTGGACTGGGGGGTGGGATTTTTGGCATTGGTAATGTTGGGGAAGGCAACTTGGCATTTTCAACCTTTGTACTTTTTTTCGCAGTTTGAGGACGAATTATGGTTGGTCCGAATACTGAAGGTATGTTTAAGCCATTTGAACTAGTAAGATTCGATTTGGCTGAGATTGAAGGTGGTGGTACCAAATAACTTTGGAAAGTTCCGTTCGTATTAATAGCTACACTGTTATTTGGCACGCAATTATGTTGATTGGAAAGGGGCCAAAGGTTACTACTAACAGGCGATTCCAATTCAAAACTTTTCTTACTGGACGCTAAGCTACTTGTACTGCTGCTAAACGAACTGGAGACACTCCCCCCAAAATGACGATTTCGATCTGTTGTTGGCGAGTTTGGCGGACTCCATTCGATCAAATTTGAGTTTTGATTTGGCTGATTCAAGTTGTAGGTCGACTTACTCTTATACTTTGAAAAATTCGGAGGTGGCGGCCTTGGCGGAGGTTTCTTTTTCTGATTGCGCATTGTGATTGGCATAATTTTTGCGAACGACTTACACTAAAACGATAAATAACTCCTGACGTATGTCATAAGTCATGCTCCACTTCCTTTGATTTTAAAACCGTCAAAGCGACAACCTGCCTACAATTTTAAAAATTTAGGCGCTATCTATCAGGAAACCACCACACGAATGCTGGTAGTTAGGCTTCCCAGCAATGGATGGCGACACCTGCGACGCGACAGCTTAACGAGATTGCTTGACGATAAAAAGATTGTGAACATGAATATTCTAAACATAGTATATTCTTCGATGAGTGGTTTCATTCCTACTATTTTTCCCTCATTTGAAAATTCAATAATTATAATTGCATAAAACTGTCTCGTAAATCAATTTTATTTATTAAGGTATTAGAATTTAAGGAGCTGATTTCTCACATTTTGTGAAAACAAGGTTACTGAAAATTTTGAAATATTTTAAGACAGAATTTATTTTTTGAAAAAAAAAACAAAAAATTTAACTGCTTTGTTTTAATTGTCGAAACTAGAAAAAGTTATTCGTATACCTACGTCCATACTTTTCACAATATTATTATTATTTCTTATCCAAAAACAATAAACTTTATTATTTAATGATGACACATTCAAAAAACAATGGACGAAGTGTCACCCAATGGGCGCTTCTAAATTTAACATTTTTTATTCAAAATATAGAATAAGAACAATAACCATTCAGATAAGTTATACAATAAAATTTAGGTTAACGAAACATTGGGATAGTAATATGAAGAAGTAAGCAAATAATTATTATATGTTATAGACAAATTAAATTAGTGAGTACACAAAATGCAAGATCATATAACTTTACGTTAATTTTAATGACGCCAATCCAGAGTAACCACGGGTGGTTATATCAATTTGCCTGGTATTGCAGTCTATACAAAAAAAAAAGAAAAAAAAGAGAGAACCGATGTTGTGTTATGTCGGAATGCTTTTTTCCTTGTATTAGGTCTAATTAGCTCCGTATATCACAGAAAGATTGCTGTATATATTATTTTTTAGATAATCTCTTGCGACTTTCTGTCCAAGTTAGATTTGAATAATAAACCATAACAAAACAAACAAAAGAACCTTCCGCAAAGAATTTTAGTGTCGACAGTATCAAAAACTTTGCCGTAATCGAGCATTATAAGCCAAGTTACTTTATTTCGAGTCAGCAAGTCATCAGTTATTTTAGTAAGTAACTTCTAAGAAAGCTGTAGAATTTTGAAAACCAAAATATATTTGAAATTTCACTTACAAGCCATTAGGAAAGAAAAATAACAACATTTGGGTCTTGGGAGCCTAACATTGTTTTGGAGAATATCCGATAAGAAAATTGTCTTTTAAATGTCCCATATATTCAAATATCATGAAATGCCAAATAGGACTTTTATTAAATGACAGAATTTGAAAAGGTCGCCGCCGGTGTCCATTACAGCCCAACAAAAATGTCAAAGTTATGCGCTTGCTTTTTCGTTTATTGGTTTAGATATCTCATTTCGATATACCTACAACAATTTTCATCCAGACTTCAACCGAGATCTAAATTATTTTTTGTAACGCCCTTATCACTTGATGCCTGTCACTTTAATGTCTCATTTTTCACTGATTATTGCGATGGTTCGCCTCGATATATCCCGCACCCTTAGGTTTTGTTACACGACCACCCTATTATGTTAGCGTTACGTCTTCCAAATCATCATACAAATTGGTTTTTTAAACATTTTTTCCGTGTCGGAATGTCTATCGGAATTAGATGTTTGACCAACAATTAGGCGTCTACTGTACGGATTTTCAAGGTGTTTTAACGGCCGAAGAATGTTTTAATATAAAATCGTCCGTATCAGACGCATTAGTAAATAATTTCAGACACCCCTTCGGTATTTACCTTGAAGTGACATAAAAAATGACTTCGTAGAGGTCGTTATCAATAATTTACGCTTTTATCTCACAGGACCATTTCCCAATGGTCATGGTTGGCAAGGAAAAATACATTAGGACCACACTAACCATCAATAATAATTAATCTACATGAAGCCGTAAAATTGGCTATAAAAAATTACGAGACCTTTGATTTGTTTTATTTACTGAAAGTTTTAACGCACTTTATGACTTTCACGGATAAAAATAACGCCAAGACCTCGATTTAAACTGAAGTGATTCCCGATTAAACCACTATAAAATTGATTGAAAGTGTATGTACTTTAGATATTGCGCCCTAACTTATCAGTGAAATTTAGCAATAAATTACTTTCAATGGCTTTTATTCCGGCTTCTTCTACATAGGCCTAGAAAAATATATTAATTTCTAATAAATCTAAAAAGCTAATAAATTTTGACAATAATTTAGAGGCGACGATCGGGCGCGTAAGTGCTTTAAAAAATGTTTGGAAGTTACGCAATTATTTATGACCAAAAAAACTGTTGTATATTAATACAAACTTAGCGTAACGATCCTTATGGTTTATATTTTCTTCCCGGTACGACGGAGACGTGAGGATACTTTTATTATAAATTATACGCCAGCTTAAAATAAAGCGAGGATTACTTTGTCAGCCATTTTTTTAATAATTTTGTATTGTGTGTGCGATCCATTACGTGCAGCGACTATCTTTCAAACTAATATCTCTTGGCACCTAGCAATTTCAATAAATATTCTGATAATTCGGTACAACTCTTCACACCTATAACATTCCCCATCATTTGATAGGTTATTTATCACGTTTTCCGTGATGCCGTAACTAAGAAATTCAAATTTATGCTTGTTATCATCGGGCAGTGTTTTGCCTCTCCGGGCAATATATCTAACATTTTTCGTTCAAGTCTAGATTCTTTTCCAATTGCATTTTTCATTCTTAATGCGCAACGTAGATTTATTGTGCCTGAATTTAAATAATGCATTATTAGTTGCGAGATCTTCAACGTATAGACGCGTCCTCCTGTGTGAAATAGTAATTTAATATTATTTAAATCCCATCGCGTCTTATTCGTATTAAAATGGGTTTATTTTAAAGTTTCAGTGGTAAGCGAGAAAAGGGCGTATTTTTCTATTTCGGATAAATAAAATTTATGCCCGGCACCTAATAGAAATAACAATACACAAATTTGGGACTCTTAAAATCCCAAAACACTTTTGTGTCTTGTTTGGCTAGTTTATTGGTAAAATAACTCACATTCGGTAATCTAAATCAACCCTTCCGAAGAATTTTGGTACTTTGTAGTCCATTCAACCGCCTCTAATAAATATTTTATGCAAACCAGTTACCCGTGTAGTACCCTTGCGATGTTGCCGCCTCGCTCATTTTTCGAGTGCTTTGATTCGGGTTTATATCAGATACGGAATAAAAAATAGTTTTTGAATAAAATGATGGCGTTTGGGTTTTTATTCCATCGTTTTTTAACAAAAAATTTGAATGGCGAGTATTTTTTGAAAGTAGTTCAGTGTTTTAGTTTACATTTGGCAGCCTCGCTAGAAGATGCTCGCAGGGTTAAGCGAGTGGTTACACCTTTCTAATAGAGAAATAACGATGTCAGCCCCACGGGGGTAGATAACGTATGTACGGTCCTTATCCCTTTATTTGGGACTATCTGAACGTCTTAATTTGTTATATCTTAAAGACTACACTTTTTTTTTCTTCAAAACCAAAGGTTCCGTATTCATAAAAAGTAACTATTCAAGACCAGTAGATTTTTGTGGGATGCAGTGCTAGTTCGCCTCCTCGTGGTGCATCCTGGGTAATGCTAAATGAACTAGCAGCGACGTCAATGGAACAGAACTCAGTGGCATCATATACACCCCTAGAAGACGACTATTACAAAATTGCAAAAAAATATCATAGAAAATTAAAAACTACAGGGAGAAAGAGATGAGAGGCGTGAAAATGAACGTCACTGAATTCTTTTCTATCGACCTTTGACGCTTCTCAAGTAATTCAGACAAAGTTTCAATTCTATCGTTAAATTTTATTGATCGATTTTTACATTTAAACTATTTTAACATAATACTGACTGATAGTGGTAAATATTGCTTACAACGCCTGTCGTTTAAATTTAAACATTACTATTTACAATGAGTGCGTCGCGCCTTGCCCAAAATGTATCTCTAAATTACTTTCTAAATGACAAATAAATAGGCGATTAAATTTTTTTGACAATTTTTAGAAATATGCTTGGAAAAGCATCTTTTTTTTCACCTAATTCAAGTAACTACCTAAAATACAAAACAAATAGATCTGATCCTAAGCGTAACAACATATATCCAAGGGAATTCACAGCATTTATTTATTCCACAACAGGGATGGGAGTAAGTAAGAGAAAGTTTTACATTAAAAAACTGATTTGAGATTCTGAGTGGCCAGAAAATTATTATTGAACACAAAAACGCCAAATTTACATACAGCGGATTATTATTTACACGGCCGTAATCTTCAAAATTGACACGCCAATGGTCGTTGAGCTAATATTTATTCAAGCGGCTTTCGATTTGACGTTTTTCCTAAATGTCTATCGCAAAAATGAAAAGGCTATAATATATCAGCAGTGAGGTATATTTGACTTATACAAAATAAGTATTTACAAGTTACGTACAATAAATAGTAGAAATAAATAAAAGGAAGACGAATAGTGTTGCGCGAAAGTGAGAGTGTCAGTCAGAATTATTGGTCGAATGATTGTTTTCGGCGGCATTTTTCTCCACCGCCATCGAAACGTCCGACAATCCAGTCGTTTCTTCCCAGTCTAAGTGCGTTGATGTTTCCATTCCATAGTCTTCGTCATTAATGACGTCATCGGAGGTTGTCGTCGACGCAGGCATTGCCGTGGTCGTGGTTGTACTCTCTTGGCTTTGATCCACCTGTTTTTTTTATATATCGATTGTCAGTCTACATAGTTTCGAATGGTTAGTAATTGGTTACAAACTCAATTTCTGAAAACACGACTTTGTAGGAATAGATGCGGTGAAGGGAAGTTGAAGCATTGAAACATTAAGTAAAACACGTTATTTATATATAAAACGCGTATTCCTTCAAAATCAAAATAAAAAACCCATTCAATATTATCTACACGATCAATCTACAAGAAAACATCATGCATTTGATAGGCTAGAGAACAAAGAATTAGAAATGAAACGATATTCTTTGGTAAATAAATCATTTTGCGGATTTAATACTGATTTTTTGATATTTTGATACGGCCTATAATTAAAATAGTCTCTTTTTTCTCTAGGTATCACGATTTGAACGACTTCGTACTCCATCCTGTATATATAGTTCTATCGAGCCCAAATTCAGGATTCCCAGTATAGTAATACGTCATTGTATCACAAGTTTGGAACTGTAAATATTTTACTTAAAATGTAGTACCAAGCCGGAAGTAAGTTATAAGCAATCTGTTGAAAATATGTTTAAAGTGTCTAGTCTTGTGTTAGTGTGTTTACAGATTTGTTAATATTTAATAAATAGTATAACTAGGTTTTTGCCCCATTTCGAAAAAGATTCTTATGCGGATCGACTGCAAAATTTGTCATGAGAATCGACGACAAAAATTGACTAGTATCGTTTCACTAAAAATCTACTAAAATTCTAACGGAAAATGCATACAGTTCCAAGCAGACCTTCTCATGTTTTATTACTTAACACATATCACAGCTAATGTGTCGTAGGTATATAGTCGGGAGTTTGTTTTGCCAAAGTTAAAAATAAAAAAAACTTTGCACGCCTTGTGAAGGACGCGAAGTCCTTGGCCGAGGTTTATTTGTTATAATTTACGATGATTGTTGTTATTGTAAAAACCTGAGCTGCATCTATGTTCCTGAGAAAGGCTCCAAAACAGTTCAAAGAGCGCAATTAAAAAGAACCGCATTTTAAACCTTTTACCGCGTCTGGTGAAATTGTTTTATCCACCGATGGTTTATTTTTTGTTGGGTGGTGATTCTACCACATCTAATACTTTTTAAAAAACCTCTAGAATGCATCCATCCACCCTTAAGCTAATAACTAAGCTAATAACAATTATTTGGTTTAATTTCAGTCTATATAAATTTTGGAGGTACCGACAGGCTCTAACGCTAACCAGAAACTGCGTAAAGTCTTTAGATTTTCTAGAAGTAAATTTGAACAGTTTTGTACTCATTCTTTGGCAGAACAAATCGAAAATATAATAATTTCCGTAAACTTAGACTTTTATAAATTGAGAAGATCCATCCAGCGTTTGTTAATACAGTATCCATATCATCAAATCTACCGCAAACGTCATTAGACTACGTAGAAAATAATAGAAACATTCTGAGAAAAAAAAGTTAACTATTGACCTGTTCAAGTCTTTTCCTAACACCTTTTCTAATCTTCTTCTTCTTCTTTTTCGGATTATTAACTAACGATTTCTCACTATTAAATTTTGTATTTTTCTTAGTCGTTAAGTCTCTTTGGCACTCGTCGTTGTCTTTCGCGTCAACGCTGTCGCACTTAACACGGCTCAGTACCGTTTTGCTCGCGGTACCGTTATTGTGGCTCACATCACTCCTCATTTCGAATTCGTCTGTTTGATTTTTTCGTTTCTTCTTCTTTTTTTTCTTCCTCTTTCGACATCTGGGAGGGTCGTTCGGTGTCTGAGAGTGATGCAACGCGCCAGGTGATGGACATTGGTGTCCATGGTGTCGCATCGGATGCTCGGACGACACTGTGCGCGTCAAGACACGCGCGTACGAAGACAACTTGCCCAACTGTTGACGCGCTTTTATCACTACTTTTCGAGGCTGGCCCCGACGGTTTAGAGCTAAATAAAATGTCCGTCGTTCGTTCGAGTATTTGCTTGACGAGTATTTGTTGTAGTTTGTTTCCTCGATGGTTTCATTAAAGATGCATTCATCTCCGAATTCGACCTGCAACAACCGAAAACAAATCGTCAAACATCGCTGGTAATTCTAAAACACACCTCGTTTACTCAAACATTTGTTCATTCGCTAACATCCACCGACGCAATCGGCAAAATTAATCTCCCTTCATAAATATCTTAGTCAAGGCTCATTTCTCTCAGCCCCAATGAAAACACCACGACCGTATGGTGCGCAAACCGCCAATAAAAATCGCGCTTTTGACAAGACAACAGGAATTTCCATGTTCGAAATATCCAATTTCCAGTAAATCTGTTTTTTTTTCTTCTCGCACACCCTTATGGCAAATAAATAGGTCAACGTGACGCGTTCAATGTCGCAAGAACATAGAAAACGCAGATAGCGATCGGCTATACCGTCAGAAATACGTCCTTGCAGGTATCGCAGACGAAGAGCGTAATATTTTCGGTTCATTTTCCTTGGTCACTTTTGACAAGTAATTTGCGATAGCTGTATTTCATTGAAACACAATTGCGGAGTCTGAAACTTTGACGTTAAGCGCGTGTAATACGGTTAGGTATGTACGAAGGGCCAAAGCTGTTGCCAATATCATACTTTGTCGCGTTTATTTTTCTTTTATGTGGGTCGCTGCACCGGACTATATTTCTATGCGGGTAATAATTTCTGCTTTGGTATAAAATAACGTTGAACAGATTAGCAGTACCCAGCAAAATGCAAAGAAACTATTTTATAATTTTTATCTACAGGGCCATGGTTTTATATTTGCATACCCTATCTGCATAATTCCTGTCAAATTATCATAAATAAATAGGTCTTCATTTCTGAGCAACGAGAAAAAATTGAAAATACGATAAATTGGACTAATCAATATTTGCATTGCTAAGAGACGCAGATCAGCTGAATAGTCTGTGCAACACGCAGAGAGAAAAGGATAATCATGGTTGTGTTCCATCACAATATAAGGTTTGTTTTGGTATAAAAATTACAGATAAAACTGAACTGGAAAATAATTCCAGAACTGCTCCAAGTATATTTTAGGGAGCTGGTCATTCTGCAATATTGAATTTGTCTCTTGTTACGGTGAATGTGGAAAAGTAAGTCAACAACAAGAAGACATTAACTTTCTTAATTAAAAAAAATACTATATATGCGTTTATAGGTCTGAATTTAAGTGAATTTCTATGTGCGATAAGAATTAGAGATGCAGTTGTAAACATGTCGCAGTAAGGAATTAAACTTACTAGGTATTTACAAAAGTTATGTTTTATTTAATAGACATCACAATTTTTTTATTTTCAATAACACAAAAATCGACTTTTAATGGTCCAGCTGTAATAAAAAATTCAAACTGAGGAATTCCAAAAAGTAAGTTAATTATTAAATCTTTCTTTAAATTTTTGATCTCTCTTTTTGTCGATTTAATTTCTTTCGCGCATCAAAGCAATAGCTTCTTCACCTGCTGGTGCCTTCATGAATTCGTTGCACAACTGTTTTACTTTTTTTTTTCTTTGTTTCAACATTTTCATGTACATTGGTTTGTTTATTTGTCCGTCTGTCTCTGGTCTCTGGGAATATGCCAGAGTCTCAGACTCCAGTAAAATTTCTGTGGTAAGGGTTCATCACTTTCCACCGATTTTCCACTTTTTGGAATCTGAGAAATTTCGTTTGACGTTGGACTCCAGAAGCCAGCTTTAAAGTTTTTCAGCTACATTGAATCGATTTTTTCTCTATAATGTTACCGACCAAAAAAAGTGTTAGATTAGTGAGGTGGTGGAAAGTACTTACAAAAAAAGTAACCATTATTTATACCGTCTCCGTTATTAAATTTGTAAAGATATTTTTTTTTACGTCTATCTTGTAAACAAAACAAACTGTAAGTTGGATTAGAGGAGATTGAAATTACTAATGGTTGGAGTATACCTATTAATAAAACTCGATCCGAAATGAACTAAAACAAAAAAATTTAGTTCGGGAACCAGCTCTGAATAAACCAAAACATTACATTACTACGCATGTGCAAATCGTATCAGACCGGTTCTGAAATGAACAAACTAAAACAAAACGATAGATAATTTTTAAAATACTCAAAAATTTCAGGTATTTTGCGAATGAAAATGATTAAAAAAAGGGGACCTAAAGTTAAACCTTTGTGTTATATATTTTTTCCCAGACTTCCAAAAATATATATGGTCTTTAAACTTGAAAGTTTTATTATGGTCAGTCAAATTTAATACAACAAAGTTAAACAATTTACACTTCGTCGTCGGAGAAAATATATAGAGCGTTTCATAAAATTCAAAAAAACTTCAATGCAATTTCGGTATTACAAACTTTTCTCTGTTGCTTACTTCTGACCTGGGTATGCAAGTGCATAAAAAACGACCCCGTTATATGTTAAGTCGACCGTTAAAAATCGTAAACAGCTTTATTCCCCATAGAATCGATTAGCGTTGGTCAGCCCATGCGTTTTTCATATGGAGTTTCATATCCTATATAGATACATATAATATACATCGGTATATGTTTCAATGTTTGTTAATGGGAACTGCCTTTAGAATTTATGGTATTCAAATATATTTAAATATTCGCGCGCCTTCAGCTGTCAGCTCATCTGTCACTGTTGCTGGAGATTTAGTTTTCGCTTTGAGCGTCAGTCGCAACTAGAAGAGCATTTTTCAAAAGTATTAAATAAATAATACCCGCGACGGTTGATTCATTTGTAGGACATCCGGCCTGCGGTACGTTGTTTAATATTAAAATTTCTCAACTTTACAAGCCGAAAAGTAACATTTACCCTCGCTTAAATAACATAGGAAGTGTTGTCCGACACATGTAGACATTGTTAAGCGCTTAAAGAAGAACCCCGAATGAAGCAGACAATATGTAATAAAATCTTATGAAGATAGTACCGACACGGTCGTACATAAAGGCCATTCTGTCGCCTTCCAAATATCCTATTCCTTATATGGAATGTATTGTTAGGCTGGCCACAACTTACTTCTAACTAGGAGCCACGTCAGGCTCGGACGTTTTTAGTTTTATTTAAATGAGTTCTCTCTATAAATAGACGGCAATCTTATAAATCTCAATTCTTTATTATCGGGGTGTAACAAAGGGCCAATGATTTCTGTTAACACGTATTTTTGAAATGCGCCCTTATTTTTTATGTATTAACTGCGTTGCTGCTTTTTGTTTTGAAATCTCAGTTTCACAAGCTCCAAAAATTCCAATGGAATAACATGGTAGTCGGGGGGCGTGGGGGCTTGGGGGGCTCGGTTGATATATAACGATAAAAGTCGTTGTCGACAAATCGCTTTATTGTCAACTGCCTTGTAATCTCGCACTAGATGGAATACTATCTGGCTGTAAGAAGATTACACTTTTTTGTTAAACTTCACGTGCCTAATGAAAACCACAAATGAAAAAAATATTCATACGCGGCGATATAAAGACCTGAGCATGGAGTCGGACATATTTTATTAAGCGGGTCTGTCTATTTGGAAAAAGGACCGAAAAGTAATTTCGATAAGCTATGTAGATCTCTGTAGGTTCTTTATGTGACATTTCGTATACTCGTTCTAAGCGGATTAATACCGTATCGAACATAAAACGCGTATTAGCCGGTGTTTTCTCTTTATTTTGTTATTCTGCATTTTTTTTTTTTGAGATTACGTACAGCTTATTTACTGCTTTTAAGCGACAGTTGATTGCGTAAATTACATTACATTCTGGATTTTAAAAAAAATGGTTGCATCCATAAAATGGCGATGAAATTGTATAACATAAGTTTCAGGGGTAATATTTATGTAGATAACATATGATATAATTAGTAATAAGTTCTCCAATGGTTATAAGGTTCGATACTTACCGGCCAAGTTTTTTACTCGTATTTTCTCAGTTTAAGTTGAAGCGAAAATTTATAATAATCGGCCGTATTATAACAAATTAAAGGTAAATATTGAAAAAACTATGTATATGGTGTTTAAACAGAAATATAAAAAATAGGTGATTTTGAAATAAAAATTCGGACAATTTTTTGCAATTTTGAAAATGAACTAAAATAGTTAATTCCTGATACGCTGTAATTACCTGAAGTCTAGTTGTAGAATTATTTTAAAATCTGCTGTTCTAGTCAGTAAACAATTATTTTATTACTTCTACGACAGTAATCTTGGAGATTTAGGTTAGTTTTGGTTAATAAGGCACGTTTTGTTGCAACATGATTAAGTAATTGTAAGTTAGAAAAGGCAAACCACACAAATCGGAATATTTGAACACCCTGTATGAGCGTCTGAAGCACTTGGTAGTGTGGTTTTCCGGTTAGCTCAGACGCGCTAATTGTGTTGTTACCTTCGCGTGGTCGCTGATCAAACACGCTTTTAACGGGGACGATGATGGCGGGAATGTAATCCGAAACTGTTTTTAGAAATTTATGTAAATCGGAATAATAGATCGCTTCGATAACACTGGTCTGCAAAAAAAAAATTCTCTCCTTGTTCTAAAAAAATGTGTCTGCTTGAGTTTTACAGTAAAAAATTCTAATTTATATTAACAAAACTAATAAATATCGTGAGTTATTCCATTATGGAATGATAGAATTCAAATTATTTAGTAGTTTTCTTCCTCTTCATAGGAGTTTCTCGGTGAATTGACCAACAGAAATCAACAAGCATTGCTGTTGACCATTTTCCAATGTAGCGTTTTTCAATTTGCATTATATCCTGATGAAACCTTTCACCATGCTCATCTGATACAGCTCCAAGATTTTCAGGAAAGAAATCTAAATGCGAATCTAAAAAATGGATCTTGAGTGACATATTGCATCATAAAGCTTTATAAGCAGAAAGTGGCTCCTGAATGATTTGTTGATAGTTGTCACTTTTTGCCTTCCCAAGAAAATTCTGACACACCTCCACAAACGCTACCCAAGCTCTTTTTTCTGCTTTGCTCAACTTCGTGAGCTCACGTATCTGCGGACCTACAAAAATTCCTTCCTTCAATTTCGCGTCACTGATTCGAGGAAATTTTGTTTTTAAGTATTGAAAACCTACACCATCTTTATTCATAGCTTTCACAAAGTTTTTTATGAGTCCCAACTTTATGTGAAGGGGTGGCGGTTTATGAGAAACATTTTTAAGTCCAAGAGTCAAACTTTTTCTTGATGGCCAGGTTTTTACTTTGTAATGTTTGTCTCTTACGCGGCTATCCCACTCACAAAGAAAACATCAAAATTTTGTGTATCCTCCTTGTAGTCCAGTCAGTATAGCGACAACTTTTAAATCAGCACAAATATTCCACATTGAACCATTATGAAGTAAAATTTCCTTTAGTTCTTGAAGAAGCCCTGCAGCATCATTACAATATACAAAATCATCTTCTTTGGAGAAGTAACTTGTAAAACTTTCTTGCCTCGTACGAAAATATGAAACTATGGTACTTTTAGTTAATAAATTCCACTGTTTTAACCTTGATCCGAGCAACTGTGCCTTAGATTTTGAAAGTCCCAAACCTCTAACAAGATCATTTAAGTCGCCGTGTTCAAGTAAATGAGGTTCTGTAGATGGACATGAAGATCCAGATAAAGTGTATGAAGATGAAGATGTACTACCAGAAAGAAAACTCGATTGAGATTGTAGACCTGAAATATTTTTATTTTTAGCCTTCTCATTAACTGGTGGAACTGGAGGTGGAGTGTCTTTATCACGAGGAATCGGTCTCTTGGCAGATAGGACGTTCGGATAAACAATCTTATCTCTATTTTTTTTCGAGAATCCTCGTGTAGATGTCATGCAGAAATAACAATCATCCTCATGATTTTGACGCTCACTCCAAATCAATGGCATTGAAAACGGCATGGATTTGTGACTTTCTTCAAGCCAACCTCTCAACGTTCTTGAGCAGCTATTGCAGCATACTTTTGGCAACCAACTTTTATCTCGCTCATCGATAGAAAATCCAAAATATAGCTTATAAGCTGTTTTAACCAGATCGGTCATGACATGTCGCCGTTTTTAGTATGTATTCCCCACAAATGTAGCAAAAACAAGTAGGAATTTTTACATTTTGCATTGTGTAACCTAAAATCACATAAAATTAATTTTAAAACAACTTTCAAACTTCTATTTTATATTTATTGGCTCTACTTAAAAAAAAAACTCAAACTACACATCAAATACTTAAATCCAATGTAGAGAACATGAACTTTATGCAAAACTTACCAAAATATTTGATATAAAAGGTAAACAATTAAACGACAAGTTTTCACTGAACTGTTGTAGTGTCACAATGAATACTGCGCATGCGCATATTTACTACCATAAAAATCACCTTCGGTACTTCCCTCCTTTCTCTGACAACTCTCTGAAACTCATTTTATATGTATATTTACTTTTTGTAACGTTGAAAAACAAAAAATTGAAATATACAAAAAATTATATCGAAAAATCTAGACGTGACAGAAAAAATCGGCCAACGGGGATAGATTCAAAACGTTTGAATCATTATATTTATCATAAAATGTTTTAAGGGAGGATTTCATTGCCAACCAGTGTAATTCGCGTGGCCCAAACTTTACAGATACATAAACCGCAAAGAGGTTCGAAAGAGCGATGCGTCACTACCAAGCGGTTATTAATACCACCGTAATATAAATAAAGAAAATTTGGACACAGAGACCGATTGTCTTAACTTATTCCTATAATTAACAGAAGAAGTGAGAAGCTCTAATAACTTCCGCGGTATTTAAAGTAATGTTGCACAATGGCGGATAACTACATTTATTTCGAATTCTATTTTCGCGAAGCTAATCCCGCTTGCGGATTGGCACCTGATTTATTTTTAACCGAGCTTTATGTAAGTGGCCAATCATATTTTCCGAATCAGCAAATCGAAACAACAGCATCGTATTTGGTTACGATATGAAACGGCAGTTGCGAACTCGAAATTCTCCGATTGCGGTTTACAATTTCGGCACCTCGTTAAAATATCAATTATATAAATAAATAGTCGAGCAGTAATAACGCAAAGTAAAGAAAAATTATGTCCTCTCTTTCTACTCCTTTTTTTTTTCACTTTACATTTACTAATAAAATAGGCTCTTTAACAAGTTTCCTTTGTGCCTGTTTTTTTTTTAATTTTTCATTATTAAAAAAAATTCGTACGTTGCCAATTTGACTAAATTATCATTTACAATTACGCAACGATAAAAGTTATTTTTTATAACGAACCAATTATTAACAATCTAATAAAACAACCCCTTAGAGTACTCTACTTTTTCGAACTGGAAATTGACTAATAAAAAATGTTTTGAAGAAATGTCCTTTTTGCGTGTATTTCCTTTCATATTTAGTTATTTGAAAAATTTCCGATGTTGCCCATGTCACTAAATTGTTATTAACAATTAAGAAATGGTAAAAGTGATTTTTTATAAGAGCCCAAATAATACAACTCCTTAGACTAATAACTTTTTAAAAGAAAAATCTCCGTCTTCAATTTGAAATTTAAAAATATTTTTTGTTTTAAGAAATTTCATTTCTGCGGGTTTTTTTTATTATTTAATTATTAAAATAAATAAAAACTAAAAGTTCAGATTTTGACGAAATTACATATTTTTACATGACAATTGTTTCGACAATAGCCTGTATTTATCAAATCAAAAACAAACTACCTACTACTATATATACCGAAAGATGACCATAAAACCTTAATTAATGTTGTTGTGTGAATTTAAGTTCAATAAATGAGAGGTATTTAAATCTAATTGATCGTTAAGCAATACATTTGAATGTCTCATTTTGTTAATCTCCATGGCTTCCAATAAATTTAATTTTCTACTTTTTGTGGCTGTACATAAAATATCAAAATTGGCGTCAAAAACGTGTTTTTCTGTGTTTAAGTGTATAGCATAATTAGAATCTAGACTATTGTTTTTAAACGCTCTCTTATGTTCGTTAATGCGTTTCTTGAAGGGTCTACCTGTTTGTCCAATATAAATTTTAGGACAAGATCCTCATTTCAACCTGTAAACACCTGATTTTTGAGATATTGGACATTTCGTTTGATTGTTTTTTAAATATTTTCCTATTGTGTTGTTAGTTCTGAAAGATATTTTTAAACCACATTTTGACAGATGTTTTCAAACTTTTTTACTAGGTTCTCCTCAAAACTATATTCACAATGGTAAAATTTATCTTTTATAACTGCTCAAATAGTACACCCCTTTACGTTTTAAAAGCGAAAACTCTTTCGCCTCTACTCTTCTACTTTTTTACTTAAAGTTTACAAATAAAAAAATATTTTTAACAATTTTTAGTTCCTGCATGTTTTTTTTTTTTAGGAAAAAAAAAAGCGTATGATACCCTTTCATTAAATTATTATTAACAATGAAGCAATGGTAACATTTATTTTCTATAACTTGGTTCTGTTTCCTTCCTGGACATTTTTTTTCGCTTTTTGCTAATATTTAAAAAAATACATGTTGCCGGTCTAACTCAATTATTATTTAAACTTAAGCACTTAGAAAAGTTATGTTTATAGGATTATTACGACATTAAAGATAAAGCTCTCTCTCCCCTAATATTTAACATGAATTTTACTAATAGAAAACGTTTTTTAACAAATTTCATTCCTGCGGGGTTTTCTTTAAGTTTTCGTTATTATTATTATTAACAATTAAACAATTTTTGATAACGACTCAAATAAAGAACACCTTAGGGTTTTCAAAGATAAAGCTTCTCTTTTCTCTATTTTTTTTTAGCCTGAAATTTAGAAATAAAATAATAAAAACAAATTTTCCCGTTTTTTTTTTTAATTTTAGGTTCAAAAATTTCGAGAATCCAGTACTTTCGAAAAAGATCACAACAGAATACTACAATAATTTTTGAAATTGTGGAAAGAAAATCAAGCAAATATGATGAAACACACGCAATGTGCCAAAGTAAAATTTTACATTGCTCCATTGCTCGTAATATACAGGAAATCTATTTTTTTTACGAGCTCAGCGTAGTTAAAAAGAACGATGGAGGATGCTCGAAGAACGTATTATAGTTTGCTTTTTTTATAACCCCACCTGGGATATCCAACGGGCACTTACCGAACCATACAACAATCCGCATTCATCCATACATAAATACTGGCAAGTGGCAACTCCTTGAATCTTCATTTGTCCGATTCCGACTGTCGTCCTTTGAAGTATGGCTGCAACAAAAACTCGACATTAATATCCTTTCGTCTGCAAAATATTCCGAAGAGAATTGTAAATATTTAGGTCGTACCGTCTAATACCGTCGGTCTATTTTCAACTGAACTTCGGTAACGCTCTTAACTTTACCCGACTCGGCTAATTCGTGTAAACTTTTTCGTAAAATCAATTTTTTTCGAGAATCGTGGTTGCCGCTTCTATGATCGTAAAATTCGCGACAAACAAAATACTATCAAAAATCTCCCGTTTAAAAACATATGAAAATACAGTCCAGGCTTATGCAATAAACATGCTCAAACTACATGGGAGTCGTAAAATTTCATTAAGCTAACACGCCGATATAAAGTAGATGAGACGTGAGATGTTCTACCTATAAAGCGGCTCTCCTAGTTAAAAAGCGTCAAGATTCATTTTCTCGGTCTACGTATTTCACTCGCAGAAAAACCGGCGTCCATTGCCACGAAAAAAAAAAAGCGCCAGCCGCGGCATATAAATTTCGTTTCGACAATGCGAAAGGTGTTAGAATGTTTTTTGTTTGATTTCTAAAATGATACGGGTATTCAAATGAGCAAGCTTTATGGCCTGGGAAAATTATTTCGAGAATGTAAGTGGTTTTTAGTATATCATCCGGTCTGGATGAAATTGAAAATAGATATCTGTGATTTAATGAAATTGAATTGCACTTGGTCGGAAAAAGGTTTTTGTGCAACGAGGTGGAAGCGTTCGTGGCGGAATAGTGCTGACCCCGATATGTATCCCTGCGGGTCTCCAACCTCCAACTAATGACCCATATAAACAAACCTTAATTAGAGTGATAATAATAGCATTCGGGTTCATATTCTCGGGGTGGTATACATTCAATTGTAGGCACAATTTGGTTTGGTAAAAAATGTAGCCGCTATTTCCGCGTTGGCTGCCAATCAAATAGCTTTCAGATTATAAGGATCGAAATGTCAGTCTATGATAGATTCTAATGCCAGCAACTGAAAATAAGTTTCGTTCGGTCCAGCGCCGCGATTTTCGTACACAATGTTATATTAAATCACGTTTAATTTACAACATTTCAATTCAATTTACGTAATTGAACGGTGCGTACAACAGTTGACGCGTTATAAATTTCGTTAAGTGCTCTTTCCTGCGCTTAATATTCCCGTTTTGTTATACTTTATGAGCGTCAAGATCGCATTTTCCGAGCAGAGCGGGTCAATTAGGATATAAGTTTGTTGCTTTCACCGACATCGATGACGCTTAACGTCTGATGAAAAAAATTAATTAATTATAGGCGATGTCGTTTTTTCAAAAACGGGGCTCAAGTAGATCGTTTTTATGAATTCGATTCGGAAATTTCTAGCGGTATACAGGCAGATCTAAATAAAGTTATTTTGTTATGAGCAGAGATACAAAGTCGGTTAAATTAGCAAACTAGTAGCATTTTTACCACTGATCACGATGGTGAAAAGAGAAAAACAACGATTAGGAAAAAATGAGGAAAATGTACTCTTTTAAATGGAATACCCTGTATATTTTTGACTCGAACATTCGTAGATCACCAACAGAACAAAAAAGGTTATATGCGATGTTAGGCTAAAATTGAAAATAACATTTATTTCTCTTTTAGTCTACCGAGAGAGTGGGAGACCGAGTGGTTGGGAAAGAAAACTACATTTTTCTTTTATTGTTATATTTATTATTTGAGCGTAAGAAACATGGAAATAAAAAAATAGAAAAAAAACTAAAACAGAACATTTTTGAGTTGTTCTATTAGTATTGCTCCACCAATCTATATGGTTTATTTTTTCTCTTATTGCAGCCTTTAAAACGTTAACTTTAAATAGGTAGACATCAAGTGGGGTTATATCTGGTGAATTAGGAGGCCAAGGAAACGATTTGTAGCGATCATTTTATTGTTGAAGTTAGGAGCTGGGGCGCCATCTTGTTGGAAATGGAGATTCTGCCTACTTATGAGGTCAACCTCACCCGAATTTCAATAATAATTGCAATGTACTGCTCACCGGTCAGCGTGTCATCGTAAAAATACGGACCAACAATGCGAGAACCAATTATACTTCACCAAATGTTAAAGCTGAAACGGACTTGTGGCTGTACGTTGATGTACCAGCAATAAATTTTCTCTGGACCAATAACGACGATTTTTTGGATTATGAATTCCAGAATTTGACAATTTTGATTCGTCAGTCCAAAAAATATACTGAAATTATTTCCTTTGGCGGCAAAATTTGACATATTAATGATAAAAAAGTTCTCTCTTCTAAATTAATTTAAATAATTGACAACAATTGATATAACAATACTAATAATTAAAACACTAAAACTAATATTTTGACAACTAGTTTTCTATTTGGCAGGGCTCTCATTATTTGCACAGCCTTCTTTAAATAATTTATTCTGCGACTTCACCGAAACTTTAAAAATAATGAAAGCGTTTTTGCTATAAAGAGACATTTTTTTTTGTAGTAAATGAAGACGTGGATATTGATGTTATTCTTATTGTTTATTACTCTCAAATAAAAGAAATGAAAGGAAAATGGAGTTTTATTTCGCAGCTACTCAAAGCTATCCATTCTAAAAGAGAAATGTGCCGATAAATCGGTTATTTGTTCTGTTGGTGATTTACGAAAGTCAGATTAAATAATATACAGGTTGTTACATTTAAAAAGAGTACATTTTCATTTTTCCTACATCCTACATCGTAATCAGCGAAAAGAAAAATACTACTAGTTTGCTAATTTAACCGAGTTTCTATCTCTACTCATAACAAAGTTCCGATGATGAACACTTAACTTAGATCAGCCCGTATAGGTACGAGGACCTTTTTCTCTGGGATAATAATGTTGTAACGAACAACCGTATAGGACATGGGATTTCGGCTTTGTGGTTCACACAAACGCGGTTATATCTTGTCATCTTTAAAAGATAATATATAGTAATATTTTTCAACACAACAATTAAAAGGCATTTAAAGTGGATAAAATATTTGGTTCTTTTTTCTACGCGGTTCGGCGGTTCATTTAAAAATTTAACGGCCTCAAAGGCATTTCTTAGGTACGGCTTTTATTGATTGTCCATAGATCATCAAAATGAGATGATTTAATTCGAAACGGTTAGGAAAAATGGGCGGAACGCGGGTGTTTTGTTTACAAATTTTAAATTGGTTTTAACCTTCTTTCGCGTAAGCAAGATCGCGTTCTAATAAAACGAGATAGGTGACATTCGATTATTTTATGTATTAAGCGATCATGTCGACGTTTCCTAGTGATTTGCATACAAGGCGGGCATTAAAATACATTCGTTTGTGATCTCCGCTACGTCACGTGCGGAAAAAATCAGATCGGCATATTGCTCTTATCAGTTTGCACGTCGTCATCCTCAAAGAATTCCGAATTATCATATACGAGATCGTTTTGCATATGAAGTATTTTTTCGGGTTGAATTATATCGATTTATACGCCAATGACATTGTAAATGTCATTCTCTCGTTTCTGTTGGATTAAGCGAATTTAATGAACATTTCGTCAGCTTCACCTAATTTACTGTAATTGTTCGCCAGCTTAACCGTGAACTTGACGCGTTCTATAGCCGTTACGGGCGTTACGTAGCTAAGTAACCGTAACAATTACGAACATATACAAAGCGTTCGGGCGGTATTGTAGGTGATTACGTCTAAACGTTTTTCTATTTAAATCCCTCGTCGCCACACACACGCGCGCGGCTACTCTCACATGTAGAAATCTGGCTATTAAATGTCGGATATTTGAGGAATGCTAATATACCTACTAGACCGTTTAAATAACGTACAGGGTCGTTTTGTCGGCTAATGTGTAAGGATCATCAAAAATAAAACCACGTAATGAAGCAGAATCGAGTTTAATCCTCTCCGTTCGACAACTACGTCTTCACTAACTCATCGTAAACCCCCAAAAACATCGCATAATAATACCCTAATTATCTCCTCACCGCAGCTTGCCCACCCTGTCCTTTTTGCCTGAGACGCCGATACATTTTACGATCGGCAAAAAAAACAAGGCGGCGCCTCTTTGTTACGGGGTCTTGTCGGATATGACGTAATAATATAAATATTCCAACACTCGGCCATCCTGACTATTGGTCTGTCCTCAGACCTAATGGTGAAATTTAAACGTAACTTAAATCTTTCAAAACTACAATAATTTGACTATTCTAGCTTGGTTCCTAGTCTTACGTAATAAAAAAAACATAATCAATTAGTAGGGTATCTTAAACATAAGCGATATTCCTTTATAAACAATAAAATAAGCAACATTTGCTTATAGGCAACGTTTGCCAAACTACAAAACACGAGCGACGTTCGCTCATAGGCATGTTGGAATATTTATATTATTACGTCATATCCGACAAGACCCCGTAACAAAGAGGCGCCGCCTTGTTTTTTTTGCCGATCGTAAAATGTATCGGCGTCTCAGGCAAAAAGGACAGGGTGGGCAAGCTGCGGTGAGGAGATAATTAGGGTATTATTATGCGATGTTTTTGGGGGTTTACGATGAGTTAGTGAAGACGTAGTTGTCGAACGGAGAGGATTAAACTCGATTCTGCTTCATTACGTGGTTTTATTTTTGATGATCCTTACAAAGCAGCGGTGGGATTTTACTAAAATCACTTACAATCGTTTTTTTTTTTCTCTTCTCGGACAAGTTAAAATTATTGTACGTCATGGGAAGATTTAAATCGAAAACAGTTACAAGTGAAAAGCGTAATAAACGGAAAGAACGTTCATCCTCGTCTTCGGGAAGTGATAGTGACAGTTCGAATTCGAGTTATAGCTCTTCCGATAATAGCTCGAGGAGAAAACGGACAATAAAACGTTTGAGAAAAGAATTAAATGATTTAAAAAGGCGTAAGCCGGTCTTTCGCGCGGGAGACGAACTTTTAGTGCCAAAATTTGACCCAAGTCGGGATGACGTGATGGTGGATAATTGGTTGAGTAAAGTGGATAGTTTGG